ATCGGGTTTTAGATATCTAGGGATAAACATCACACAGGGATTCCCTAACCTTTACAAAGAGAACTTTGCTCCACTAATCGACAAGTTAAAGCTAGACCTCAAAAAATGGAATTTGCTATTTCTCTCTCTTGCAGGTAGAATTAATTGTGTAAAAATGAACATCTTACCAAGGTTCTTGTACTTGTTTCAATGCATCCCAATATTTTTAACAAAATCCTTTTTTCAGAACTTAGACAGACTTATTTCATCATTTATATGGGGTGGAAAAACACCTAGGATTAGGAAGGAATTTCTCCAAAGACAGAAATCTCAAGGCGGATTAGCGCTTCCTAATTTCAGGTATTACTATTGGGCTGCAAATATCTCAAAAGTACTTTATTGGCTTCAGAACCCCAAAGATGTCTGGTGTATTTCAGAGGCAAACTCCTGTACTTCATCATCCCTTCCTGCTTTAGCTTTATCTAAATTGCCCCTTTGTATCTCACTGTATACTCAATGCCCAGTCGTCACAAATACTCTCAAGATTTGGTTTCAATTTAGACAATGTTTTGGTTTCAAAGACTTCTCTATAGCCAGCCCTATATGCAATAATCACCTATTCCTTCCAGCTCAATTGGATTCAGTCTTCAGTCAATGGCAACAGGCAGGTCTTGTCAAATTTAGTGATCTTTTCAATGATGATTTTTTCACCCCTTTTTCCAATCTCTCCTCAAAATATAATCTGCCAAGATCACATCTGTTTAGATATTTTCAGGTTCGTCATCTAATCCAAAATCGTTTAATAAGAAGATAAAGATAAAGACAGTCCACTTCGTGTATACAGACAGGAGCCATCTTTGGAAAACAGTCTCGACTAATCAAACCACGAACGCCATTCATACAGTTCAGAAGTTCACTGAACTTCATACAGTTCAGCTCACTTAGCACGTCGTTCGTGGTTTGATTAGTCGAGACTGTTTTCCAAAGATGGATCCTGTCTGTATACACGAAATGGACTGTCTTCATCTTTATCTTCTTATTAAACGGTCTGTACACTTACAAAGTTCTCAATGCTTCGTTTTGTATGTAGGGACCCTCATTATGTTACTGTGTTCGTGTGGGGCTATTTTGAGTCTTGTTAGTGATATAAACTAGCGATTTATTTTTACTTAATAGATGCCCCCATTACTAGCGTTATACGCTAAACAGTTTTTAGAGATAAAACTCTTTACATTCGATTATCATGAAAACAAATCTCAGAGAACAGTTGACTTGGTACCAATGTTTTATTAGACCAAGGTTCATTTTGCGCCGGAGTTCTCCTTTAACTGATACGATGGTAATAATCGATATACACCTCACATTTTACCAAACAGAATGAACAATGCACTGTTAACTCTATTACACTATTAATTAAAACTCACAGTGAACAGCATTAAATATAAAAACACATATGCCTTACCTTTTTGTTGCAGTGCAGTTTTTATTGCAGTGGTATGTTTTGCCGACAGCACTACAGTCCTCATTTTTTTATTGCTGCTTCCATTCTCCTGATTGCTATTATTTCATTTCTTCTTAAAAAAACATCCAGGGAAGATTGAATAGGCCTGTTCTTTTAATGTTTACTCAGTATCTGACAGCTAGGCTAATCAAAAATACGCGTGATTAAGTGATGCAATAAACTGCGGCTGCGCACACTCACTCCACACAAGTTTTTTTATAATAATACTTTTGCAATAATGTGTGTCTCCTCTGACCGTTGTTCTGTCTAACATTAATCCTGGCCTGTCCCTGCTCTCTCGGCAGCATAGCAGGCTCATAATTGTAAGGCTGTCGTCCGTGGTCTGTCATAGGAGTAAGTCCGAAATGTCATTGCGATCCATTGTTTTCCTGTTGTTTGAATGGTTTGAATCGACCGCTCTCCCGCCCGTTACGTCACGCCCGTCACGCCCATTTTCAGATGCGGAAGTAAAATTCTCTCACAAAAACGACTCCAGAAGCCAATGTAACGTATTTATAAGTATATTTTAAAGAAAATCTAATTACTACATTGTTTTTCTATACATTTACTCGTTGGGTCCTCTAACCTGCAATATGCCCTTTAAGTAATTTTAGTGTTCTTTTAAATTACACAATAATTTAGCAGACTAAAGACGAGCTTCTTCATTTTCATTTTCTGACGCAATCGGCTGACAATCTTCCTTCATCAGTTTTTGTCGTTTGTGCAGCGGCTGCGGTTCTACAGGAATGTAGCAAATTTATGTTGTAATGATAATTACAGTTTTACTCGATTGCTTAAACACTATAACCAGGCTTTTAAACTAAAATTTCAAAACCATAATGCCATTTATCAAAAAGTACACAACTATGAACACTATTCCCCTGTTTTGACACATTAGTCAGATTTGTTGAACTGTCACAGCAAAACTCTACATACAAATCCCTTCATTTCTCATTGCCTACACCACGTGGTCATTTAGAAAGCACTAGCATTCAATATTGTTCACTCAAGTCAGCTCAGTTTCAGCTCAGTTAGCACACAATTACCCAGGTGAAAACACTAAGAGTCAAAATTGAACACACATCAGTCAGATCCTTCAATAGATAGATAAAAGGTTATACAATCTTTTATAAAAGATAAAAATCAGTTTACTGAGTTTTGGAACAATGGATCCACAGCGAAATTAAGCAATAGGTTGAGGAGGGGGAGGGAGAGGAGGAGGAGGAGGGAGAAGAAGAGGAGGAGGAGGAGGAAGAGGAATAGCAGAGGGAGAGGCGGAGGAAGAGGAGGAGGAGGAGGAGGAGGAAGGGCAAGGGCAAGAAGACAAGCAGTCTCGGATGAAATTCAAGCCACTTTAGTTGGCCATGTCCTTGTCCATGGTATGAGGGAGGCTGGGCAACGAGTACAGCCAAATTTGAGTCGCTTCACCGTCGCCTCCATCATCAGAACCTTCAGGGAGGTGTGGTGGCAAACAGATTTCTATCACTGAATAAGAGACAAACATTTCCAATTGTCTTTGATGAGGTTTATGTTCTTGCAAGAAAAGGCCAGCAGTCGTACAGTCACACAGAGTGGCTGCAGAATGGGACAGTGAAGGGAGGGCATCTTTCTCCTTTATAGTCTTGACTCCCAGAATGTTATGTTTCTAGGCCAATGATGGTATTTCAACCATATGTGGAACATTCTTAGACTTGTTCATCATATTGTATCCTTGAGTGGAGGCATGTACCAACACTCTTTACCATTCCAATACAATTCCAGATTTGAATAAGGTTTGTGTGTGCTCTTTTACTGTCATATGATGCTCACACACATCTTACGTAAGAGTAGGAGCTAGTAAAAAAAAGATGGGGGGGAGGGAGTGGGGACCACAAGCAACATGACTTACCAGTTTTGGAAATGTTGTTTTGAATTTATAGCACCAGTGTGTATGACTATGTTGTAGTGTGTGTATTTTTGAGGGCTTGTGTGTCCTGTCTGAGGGCAAAGTTTGTTTTTTCAGCAAGAGTGAATGGTTTTGAGTGTAGAGCTTCATTTTGACCTGAAAATAGGATGTTTGGGGAATTGGGTGAGACGTTATGGATTTGTGTTTACTGTTTTGAGAATACGAGGCATAGTTTCAAGAAATGTGTTTAATCAATCGAGAAAACTGTAAACAAAACTCTTGACTTTAAATAAGTAAACAGTTATAAACAGTTACCTATTTAAGCATCAAGTTGGTAAAATATAAACGCTGTGGGACAACATCGGTTAACAACATGTAGGCCTATGCTACATTGAGATTCGATCTCGGGTCGATTAAGCTCGTGTTGTTGCGTTGATCACTGAGCTACCGTCTGTACGCTGTTAAAGTTGTAAAGCCTCATTGATGTAGCCTAAATGTTTTTATTGCAATGTTTTATGTTGAAATGTTTTCATTATTTATTCAATTACATTTCAGTAGCCTAATTTCAGTATTGTGATTGTGAATTATTTTAACTACGTTTCACTTGTTGAATTCATCTGCTACCAGCTTTCAATCGCTCTGAATCAGCGCGGTGCGGCAGCAGATTACGCATTAGAGAGAATAAACTGGAATAAATGAACACTTTTCAGAGTCTATGATTGTAGCGCCTCTTAGCGGTAAAAGGCAGCAAATACACCACACATTTTACCGCCGCGGTGGAACGGCTGATGTGGGCATTGTCATGGCTTGCCTCGACATTTGCGTTTGAATAGCGCGCGTCCTCCGTGGGCGTGTCAGATTAACGCGTAATGAAGTGTAATGAACTGGGGGAAAAAATACTGACAGCACTCTATTTTCATACAGATTGCATAAACTGAGAATATTTGTTTTTTATATAAATTACTTCATTTAAAAGAAGAGAATTCAAGCTTCATAAAGAAAAATCTCTCGTGCCTGTGTGACAAGTAATCGCGGAGTTACAGTTAATCTTAGGACGCGTTTCAGAATGGACTTCACTGACAGAGAGAACGCAGAACTCGCATCATGTTTGTTTTTCTTTATTTGGTGAAAAGCACAACACTTTGTTTTTATTGTGAGTATCCACAAAAAAAATAGAAACTTAACAGGATCTAATGATGTATCACACTTATATGTAAGATCAAAATCAACCAAGTATTTTGAGTCTCTTTTGCACTGATAAGAAAAAAAGCGAGACAATCGCGCCGGCGCGATAGCCGACCCCAGGGGGTTAAAGCAGCCAGAGATAAACTAAGCGCTGTTAATTCGCAGTATATATCCTGTAGACTGTTTTCTCGAAAACAACAAATATAACCTAGAATGCATTGTTTTCTACGGTATATTACTGTTTTAATGGAAAATTATAAGATATTGTCAGAATTTGACCTTTTTTACAGCAAGGCTTAACAGTGCATGTTTATATTCACATGTATTCATTTAACAGACTTTTGCCATTATCCAAAGAGACTTACATAGCAGGATCTTGACGCAATACAATGAATGTCCTGTTACAATGTATGTATATTAATTATTTTACAATTTTATTTTATCTTACAGCAGTAGCCCTCAATATACTGAAGCCCTCAAGACCTTTAGATCAAATTTGAGGAAGAAGTTTCAGTGTCTTTATGAGGGAACAGCAAAGCAGGGAAACCCAACACTGCTGAATGAGATCTTCACTGATCTCTACATCACAGAGAGTGATTGTGGAGAGATCAATAATGAGCATGAGGTGAGACAGATTGAGACTCAATCCAGGAGAGCAGCAACAGAGGACACACCGATCAAATACACAGATATCTTTAGACCTTTACCTGGACAAGACAAACCCATCAGAACTGTGCTGACAAAAGGAGTCGCTGGCATTGGAAAAACAGTCTCTGTGCAGAAGTTCATCCTGGACTGGGCCGAAGGGACGGAGAATCAGGAGATCCAGCTCATGTTTCCACTTCCTTTCAGAGAGCTCAACTTAATGAAGGACAAAACACTCAGTCTTTCAGAGCTTCTTCATATCTTTTTCCCTGAGACAACAGAAATGAAACCATTCAGTGATGAAAGTAAAGTTGTCTTTGTTTTTGATGGTCTGGACGAGTGTCGTCTGTCTCTGGATTTTAATGTGAAACTGTGTAATATATCTGAATCCGCCTCAGTGGACGTGCTGCTGACGAACCTCATTGCAGGGAATCTGCTTCCCTCGTCTCTCATCTGGATCACCTCCAGACCAGCAGCAGCCGATCTCGTCCCCTCTGAGTGTGTGCATCGAGTGACTGAGGTACGAGGATTCAATGATCCACAGAAGGAGGAATACTTCAGGAAGAGAATCAGTGATCAGAGTCTGGCCGATAAAATCATCACACACCTGAAGTCATCAAGGAGCCTCTTCATCATGTGCCACATCCCTGTGTTTTGCTGGATCTCAGCCACTGTTTTAGAGAAGATGTTGAGTAATGCAGAGAGTGGAGCGATTCCCAAGACTCTCACTCAAATGTACACACACTTCCTGATCATTCAGACGAATATCAAACATGAGAAGGACTATGAGAAGAAAGTGAAGGATGAAGACATGATCCTCAAACTGGGAAAACTGGCCTTTCAGCAGCTTGTGAAAGGCAATCTGATCTTCTATGAGGAAGACCTGAGAGAGTGTGGCATTGATGAGACCGAAGCATCAGTTTACTCAGGATTGTGCACTCAGATCTTCAGAGAGGAGTTGGGCTTGTATCAGGGGAAAGTCTTCTGCTTTGTTCATCTGAGCATTCAGGAGCATCTAGCAGCTCTTTATGTGCTTCTTTCATTCCTGCTGTACAAGAGGGATGTGCTCGATGAAAACCTCAGCTCAAAACATGCACACAAGTTCACGTGTTACACGATATCTGACCTGCACCAGAGAGCCGTGGACAAGGCTCTGCAGAGTAGAAATGGACATCTGGATCTTTTCCTGCGGTTTCTTCTGGGTCTCTCGCTGGAGTCCAATCAGAAGCTCCTGAAAGGCCTTCTGACGCATGTTAGAAACATCTCGTACAATGAAGAGAAAACAATTGAATACATTAAAACGAGAATAAGAATGAATCCCTCACCCGAGAAATACATCAATCTGTTCCACTGTTTAAATGAACTGCGTGATCTTTCTCTCGTAAATGAAATCCAGGAGTGTCTCGGATCTGGAGGTCTTTCAAGCACCAGATTGTCCTCGTCACAGTGGTCAGCTGTTGTCTTTGTTTTATTAACTTCCGAGTGTTTGGATGAGTTTGAATTAAGGAAATACATAAGCACCAATCAAGGCCAAAACCACACATCACCCAATGAAGTACTTCAGAAGCTCTTGCCTGTAGTTGAAGCCTCCAGATCAGCAAAGTAAGTGTGTGTGTTTATGTGTTGTTGTGATGCGTTTCTCTGTTCTTTGATTATGTGTATTACTGAATATAAAATTACTCACATTATGATATATTAGTAAATATATTGTTACATATTTTTCTATTTATGTAAAGCACCATTTCTTTATGTATTATTCAGTATATCATAATATATTAACACAATATATTATTCTGTATATTTTCAAATATACTGTTTAACCATTTCATATATTGATCATTCATATATGGTAAATATATTTTCTTTTCATGAGGTTATATCAGATGTAAAACAGTTTAAATCATTCTGTTGACTTCATGCCTTCACTCACTCCAGTAAAAGAGTGTGTACGCACGGTCTAGAGTGTCCGTACGGTGCGCACATATTTACACTAGTTTATTTTTTATAAATCCCGATATATGAATGGAAAATTGCGTATGAACATTTCAATGCTTTTTTTGTGTGTATGCAACGTTTATGCATCAGGCTCCCGGTGTTTGTGCCATTATTTACCGGCCAAAAACAGCAGGTCTGAAACCAGTCGCTAACTGGTAGATTGTGTTGGTCATTATGGAAATGATCGGCTGCGTCTCTGTTCTTTAAGTTCTGCTTCGTCAGTAGATCAAACTCTGAACTTTCCTCTCACATCTGTTACGGGATTGCGCTCACGATAATTTGCCCTGTTTAGTAAATCTGGCCCTTAATATTTAATATCTCAGTCTCCCTGTGGTTGTGTAGTTCCTGCTGAGAGATTAAAGTGTGTGTTGTTGTTCTACAGGTTGTGTGGGTGTAAGATCACAGATGAAGGTTGTGCTGCTCTGGCTTCAGCTCTGAGATTAAACTCACACCTCAGAGAACTGGATCTGACTGGGAATATAATAGGAGATAAAGGTCTGAAGTTGCTCTCTGATGGACTGAAGGATCCTCACTGTAAACTGGAGAAACTGGAGTAAGATCATACATTAATCTTTACTGAGACAAGAATAATGTTATTTTAACCCTTTGATTCATACTGTATCATATTTGATCTAAATGATCAACATGATCAAAAACCTGTTGCACACAATCTACTACTTGCCTTCTGTTGTCTGGTTGATGGTTTATAGTTTTTTTAGCAAGTAAAAGGCAAATATAATTTTAAAGCGTGTCCCTTCAGCTCGTGGGTCATGTGACTTTTTGCTGTGAAATCTTTACGTATTTTTAAGTAAACATAAGAATAACCTTTATAATGTTAGTATTTTTCAAGATGATCGTTTTCTGGATTGAAGCAACTTAACTTTACTTGATTATCCATACATCTTTTAAAAATAAAAATAAATCATGTTCAAATGTATCAAATATAATCATCAGGCTTTTGAGGAAGCTTTATTAATTTTTCTCTCAATCATCATTTTATTGCATTACATTTTATGTTTTAAAATTACAGAGCTTTGATCATAAAACTAAACATTTAAATATCATCTTACTAAGACATGTTATTGGCAGATATAGAGTGACGACTGATATTTATATGCATTTTATGTCAGTGGTTCTCAAATCTGGTCCTGGGGATTTTTATTTAAAAAAAAAGTTTGCAGTGTAAATAATTGTCTGACTCAGCACATCACTGACAAAACATTTTGAAAATAAAACGTGCATATCTTACTGCTTCCTTCCAATTCTATCCTTCAAATACAATAGTATTTTCATAACAGTGTGAAGAGCATGACAGTGGTTATGATTAGTCTCCTCTCTGTCTGTGCTCGACACCAACAGCCCCTGCGTGCAGCAGATCGTACAGTACTGAGTCAGCGGACTTACTCAACCCGGCCAATGGCCCGTTGAATCACGAGCGAGTCCTTCATTGCCTGTCATTATACCGTCTGTGTTGCTGCTAATCTGCTTAGACGGAGTCAAGTGCTCATCATTGATCATTATTTGCGTGAGAATATTTTCTCAGAACATCTGCTATTTAGATCAGAATATAAAGCAGAATTATCATGCGCCAAGCAATCCTCGCTGACTAAAACATTAAAACACGGCATGCCACAGGAAAAGTGTTCAAAAGCAGCGCAGTCACTACAAATATTTCTATTTAAATTAATAAAAAATGTTGTAACTTCTGGACAATGATTTCATTAAATTTCAGTGCTTAACTCCATTAATGAGAGTGGCATATTTAACCTAAATGTGTATATCAGATGTAAAACTGTTTAAATCATTCTGTTGACTTCACTCACTCCAGTAAAAGAGTGTGTACGCACGGTCTAGAGTGTCCGTACGGTGCGCACATATTTACACTAGTTTATTTTTTATAAATCCCGATATATGCATGGAAAATTGCGTACGAACATTTCAATGCTTTTTTTGTGTGTATGCAACATTTTTGCATCAGGCGCTGGTGTTTGTGCCATTATTTACCGGCCAAAAAAGAGCAGATCTGAAACCAGACGCTAACTGGTAGATTGTGTTGGTCATTATGGAAATGATCGGCTGCGTCTCTGTTCTTTAAGTTCTGCTTCGTCAGTAGATCAAACTCTGAACTTTCCTCTCCCATCTGCACTTTTATGGGATTGCGTTCTCACGATAAATTTCCCTGTTTAGTAAATCTGGCCCTTAGTATTTAATATCTCAGTCTCTCTGTGGTTGTGTAGTTCCTGCTGAACTGAGAGATTAAAGTGTGTGTTGTTGTTCTACAGGTTGAGATGGTGTGAGATCACAGATGAAGGTTGTGCTGCTCTGGTTTCAGCTCTGAGATCAAACTCACACCTCAGAGAACTGAATCTGTCTGCGAATATAATAGGAGATAAAGGTGTGAAGCTGCTCTCTGATGGACTGAAGGATCCTCACTGTAAACTGGAGAAACTGACGTAAGATCATACATTCATCTTTACTGAGACAAGAATAATGTTATTTTAACCCTTTAATTCATACTGTATCATATTTGATCTAAATTATCAACATGATCAAAAACCTGTTGCACACAATCTGCTACTCTCCTTCTGTTGTCTGGTTGATGGTTTATAGTTTCTTTAGCAAGTAAAAGGCAAGTATAATTTTAAAGCGTGTCCCTTCAGCTCGTGGGTCATGTGACTTTTTGCTGTGAAATCTTTACGTATTTTTAAGTAAACATAAGAATAACCTTTATAATGTTAGTAATATTTCAAGATGATCATTTTCTGGACGGAAGCAACTTAACTTTACTTGATTATCCATACATCTTTAAAAAAAAATCATGTTCAAATGTATCAAATATGATCATCAGGCTTTTGAGGAAGGTTTATTAGTTTATCTCTCAATCATCATTGTATTGCATTACATTATATGTTTTAAAATTACAGAGCTTTGATCATAAAACAAAGCATTTAAATATCATCTTACAAAGACATGTTATTGGCAGATATAGAGTAATGACTGATATTTATATGCATTTTATGTCAGTGGTTCTCAACTCTGGTCCTGGGGATTTATTTAAATGTTTTATTACACTCTCACGATAATTTGCCCTGTTTAGTAAATCTGGCCCTTAGTATTTAATATCTCAGTCTCTCTGTGGTTTTGTAGTTCCTGCTGAACGGAGAGATTAAAGTGTGTGTTGTTGTTCTACAGGTTGAGATGTTGTGAGATCACAGATGAAGGTTGTGCTGCTCTGACTTCAGCTCTGAGATCAAACTCACACCTCAGAGAACTGGATCTGACATGGAATAAAATAGGAGATGCAAGTGTGAAGAGTCTCTCTGCTTTAAAAGATAATCCACATTATAAACTGGAGACATTGAGGTAAGTATTGATTCATATCATATAATATAATAATGTCACTTGAACTAGTCAATCCTCTGAACAGATGTGTCAGTAATGCATGTGTTACTGTCTGTGTTTTATTTTACTGACAGATTTGATGACTTCAGTGACGGATATGATGATTTTAGTGACAGTGATGATGAATTCTGGTGAATATGGAGCCACTATAGAGACATCATCATCAACACTGAAGTCACGTGACCTTTACTGGATTTACTGTATATAAATGTACATTCATTTTTTTGTATAATATCTAATAAAGTCTTCCTCTCATTTATATATTAGTGAATTGGTGTTTTTTATCAGCCGTCTCCGTGAAGTGAGCAGCTCAACACACTCACTACATTAACAGTAATGAACTTCAGAGCCGAGTTTCATCTGTGTTTCGGGGAACTGGATGTTTAATCGGGTTTAATGATGATGATGCTTATAATGTCTTTGTCAAAAGTCTTCCTGAGATTTGATTGAAGCTCATCTGAAGAGGATATTTGCCATTGTCACATTGTTTTTGTTCTGTCTTTGTGTTGGTGTGTGTGAAAGTCATACGGTTATGATTAAGATGCAGATTTGTGTCATCACATGATCACTGCGAGTTAGCCTATATTATCTCTTCAGAAACAGCCAGTGCTACACCATGACTAAACTAAATCAGTTATTCCTTTCAGCACAAACAACATTTTTATATGTAAATTAGGCTAATTCTATCATATCTTCATATACATTAAAGTAAGCGATATTTGCTCTTGGAACAGAATTGTAGATGCTTGTAAATTTACAATTGAATTGTGATTAAACAAATGTCGGGAAGGAGCGTTAATCGCGTATATTTTCAGATATATCCCACACAATCTCAGCAAACAGTCAAACTAATAGTTAATATTGTAGCCGCAAGAAAATAACCCGAGCAATAATAACACGAGTGAACATCAGTTTATCGGTTATCTTCGGGGTCTTTTTAATGACTTTTGCTCAAATTAATAAAAAAAGAATCTTTGTCCAAATGGTATGAAACTTTCTACGGCTCTCAACACTTTCTAGATCTAAAAAAATAAATAAAATTGGAACGATATCTGTTTTTATGTTAGCGTGAATAAAATAGTGACACTAGTTGTCTTCGGGGTCCCTGGAGACCCAGCATAGTAAATATACAGAATTCATCATCAAAATCAGAAACAACGCAGGACACACAGACAGAAATAAAGTGGCACACTTCCAACAATGCAGAAAACATCCACATTGTAAATTTATTATGCTTACCACACGCACACACACACACGCACACGCACACACACACACACATAGAGGAATACATTTTTTAGACTATAAAAACTGTTCTCTTATCATTTGTAAAATAAAATCATCCAAAATGCAGAACCACCACAAAAATAAATTGGTGACACTGACACATTGAAAATGTGCACACACACACACACACACACACACACACACACACACACAGGAATACATTTGTAAGGCTATAAAAATCTCATTTGTTATTGCTGTTCATGTTCATGTCATGTATTTTTACTCAATGTATATAACTGTTCATTTCTGTTAATTTTTGTTCTGTTACAGTTAGAACTGAAATGTTGATTAAAATTGTAAAATTATATTAAAAACAGATGATTGAAATAAATGATCATATCTAAACATTTATCTTTGAAACATCTTGTTCAGGTTTGATTCTAATCATATAATGTAACATTATTGAAAAACTTTTTTCAGTACAAAAATTGCTAAACTTTGACAAAGTATTTTTTGTTGTTGTTATTATAATTGTGATTTTATAATATTTGGGTATGAATCCAACTTGTGAAAAGATATCTTTTGGTTAGTCAAATAGCATATAGTGGAGCTCTATAGCCATCTAGTGGTTAAAGTGATTTTTTTTAAAATAAACATTTTATTTATTTATTTATAGAAATTTAATTTTTTTTGTAAAAATGTAAAATTTTGTAACAGAAAATTATTCTGTTACAAAATTAAATGTTATTGTCAGGGGCCCCTGGAGACCCCAAAGATAACTAGTGTCTGCACAAATGAAGATAATACATGGGTTAAAAAAATAAGTTAAGCTTTAAAATGTCACAGAACACACAAATAGAAGATATAATAGAAAAAAAGGTATAATGCAGATGCTGCTCACAAATGTGTCCTTTAAACTTATGTAACAGAAAATAACAGAATAGATCCGATCGATGTGATCGGCTCTCTTCTCCTCTTCCTGACAATCATCGCGCTCTGACATCTACACTTCTGCCTGCGAATTGCGGAAGCAGGAGTCGGTGGACAGGCGGTAATAAAGTGTGTTTATATATATTTGTAAGAGGATTAATCTATTATTTATCCATCTTTTTTAACATTAAAGACTGTTTTGATGACTCTGTAGCGGGAAGAAGACACTGTTTGAAGGATTTAAAGGTATGCCATTGTCTGTTGTGTTTTCTTCTGGTTGATGTTTATATGACGTGTTTATTAATATTCACCTTTTATTACTCATAACTTACATACCTAAGAAGTTAATGTGTTATTGTTTTAAACATGGTCGTCAGTTGTGTTAAAATCAATTTAACATCAAATGAAATGACTCTGTTCATATATTTTAAAGCATCAGAAGTTAGTTTTTTTTCTGGTTGTGATCCAGTCAGATCTGCTCACCTTTATTTATATAACTCTATATATTACATTGTTTCAAAGCAGCTTCACAGTAATATATAAGTCTACTGGATTTGACATTGCTGATATGATTAAGATTTAAATTAGGCTTTCTAGGCAGGAGTCAGTTGTAATTTCATCCACAGATGTGAGTCTCTTGACTGTCACGTGTGTGCAGAGATAAACACAGTGTTGATGTTCTCTGATCTCCCAGCATGCAGTGCGCAGCCTCCTCTCCTCATGAGCTCCCGCAGACGGGCGGCGATCGGGCCAAACTCACTCAGCTCCCCGCCAAGGACTCGTCCTCCATAGACAGCGCCTCTGAGCTGGGCGGCCCCAGAGCGCTGACCTTTGACCTGCTGAACATGGTGATCTGCTTCAAGCGGATGGCCATCTTCCTGGAGCCCGTCACAGACACGCTGGAGGTGCTGCGGTTCCTGCTCGGGTGAGACACGGCCCTTACAAATCACACTGACAACTGCACATCTCGCACTGCTTCTGTACTTTAGGTGACCGTATCATGTGACTCTCATTAGAAGGCTTTTGTTTTTGTTCCAGCCAGTTGTGAAACGCATCTGTGAGTTGTTTGTGCTGCTGTGTGTTTTAGGTGGAGGATGCCGCTGTTCTCCCTGTCGAGCTGCGTTCTGCTCAACATCCTCTTCCTCACACTGAGTGAAGGTGAGACACCAGTAGAAGCCGTAAATGTGCTCAAATATTCTCACACAGGAACAGTTATGGCATAATAAGTGAGGTGAACCCTATAAAGCCGACTGTATTATACTTGATACACACGTTTCTAAGGGCTTTAAATGATCAACATGATGTTGCACTCAAACTACTACATGCCTTCTGTCGTCTGATTGATACTTTATATTCTTTAGCAAGTAAAGGGCCTTAAATATAATTGTTCTATGTAATTCCTTCAAGTTGTGGTTCTTGTGTCTTTTTGCTGTGAAATATAAAATGAGTTTCATAAACTAAATGTGAGAATATCTTTAATTTGTTAGTAATATTTCAAGATGATCATTTTCTGGACTGAAGTGACTTGATTATCTATAAATATTTTTTTTATAGAAAAATCATGTTCAAATGTATCCAATATGATCGTCAGGCTTTTGAGGAAGCTTTATTTGTTCATCTCTCAAATATCATTGAATTGCATGACATTATATGTTTTAAAACTACAGAGCTTTGATCATAAAACTATCATTTGATATCATCAGATATAGAGTGATGACTGATATTTATATGCATTATGTAAGTAGTCTGCTATACTGTTATAAAGATTGATTTACATTAGTGATCAGATCAGAAATTCTTCTTACTTTTTGGCAATATAAATATCAGCAACTGCACGAAATTTCATATTTTTGCTCAGTTTGGGCCTGTGAATAAAACTGAGGTGTTTTCCCCGTACATATTCTCACTATATCCGACTATATGAGCCATAAAAGCCTGATGATGTCAAATATGATGCTCAACAACAAACTTTTTTTATGTCCTTTTTTATTTGGTCTAATTCTGAAATATTTAATGTCAGGCATTCCAGGGTAAAGATGACCTTTAGTTGCTTACCTTCTCCTGTACAGTTGATAGATTACATAACATTTCATTGCATTAATATAAACATAAAAAACTAAATATAATACAGTGTGATCAGGACAGAAAGCTGAAAATGTTTTTTGTGATCATATCCATATGACTGCATGTCATCAAGCTTATTACGCGTCTGCTTTCCAAAACAAATGCACTTTCAATATTTATTTAACTTTAAATGATTGCATTAGGTGAGAAGAAAAAGCGTAGAGTGAGAAGTGTAACATGAGTCTAGAAGAGCTATGCTATAACAGTCGATTATACAGATTAGCGCTCGTTATATGAAACTCAGAATGGAGTGATCATGAGAGATGCAGAATAAAGAGGAGATAAACGCACGGTTCCCTGTGTCTGCAGGCGCGTGGGTCTCTCTGCTGCTGCTGGCGGCCTCTGCTCCGGCTCTGCTGGGATACCTTGGCAACCGTTGCCAGGGCGCGACCAGCGAGATGGCGGTTCAGAAGAAGAGACACCATGCGGTCCAGCGGCGAGACCTGCAGACGGTCCACATGAGCAAACAGGAGGCCATGCTGGAGGTCAAGGGCATGTGAGTGAGCAGGACTGTGGCATGAGGGATGACATCAGCACTGAGACTGAGAGATGAAGGCGTGTGTGTGTGTTACAGGCTGAAAGGGATAGAAGACGTTTTGACCCAGGCGTGTGTGTGTGCAGAGTCTGTGTATAAAGTGTTTCACTGGGAGAGCCACGCCGTGTCCTCCATGTGAGTATCGCACAGATGCACCCATGATCACAAGCTCTGATCTTCCTCTGGGGAAATGGACCATCAGAGTTGCTGCCAAAATAGTCCATTTTTTGTACTTTAATGTTAATTCAGTGAAATTACGATAACTTGGTAGAAACTACCACTGTCCACAAAAACACTAAGAATATATCATATTATTATCATCATATTATTAAAAGTTCTATTTGAGTGGTTTTAATGAGTAAAGTTTGATGACAAACTTTGATGTTGGCTTGACAAAGACAGGTCTGAAAGGTTCAAATCACTTTGAAAAGCTTGAAGTTTAAAGGTTTTACTCAGGGGAAAAAAGTCAGAGAATCTTACTAGAATGTTTTAGCCTGTTGCTAGCATTAATTAGCACTAGCGCTGCATCCAAAATAAAAGTTTGTGTTTTTACATAACATATGTGTGTGTGCTGTGTACAATTATTTTGTATATACAAATACTCACACATGCATGTATATATTTAAGAGTTTTTTTGTTTATATAAAAAATGTATATATGTATCTATCATTTAGATGCGATTAAGTAATCATTGTCCAGCACTAATTTAAATTGCCAAAAAGTAAGATGGGCAAGCACGCGCACAGAGGGCTGGGTGTCAGAAGGCGCGTCCCCTGAGTTTTAAAGGGTCCTTTCATGCCCTTGTACAAAGTCCTGATTTTGTTTTGGGGGTTTACTAGAATATGTTTACATGCTTTTACCGAAATGTGCTGTGATTGGTTAGCGCGTGTTTGGAAAATGTCTTCCGTGATATGATAAGTGTGTGTGTGTGTAGGTTTTACGGTTCTCTCCTGACTGCTCTTTTCCTGCTGTGTGCGGTCCCGGTGGGTTTGAGTCTGTCTGTGCTCAACAGCGCCCTCTTCCTGTGGAACAGAGATTTCTGCAGAGGTCAGTGAAGCCTCAGGCATGTCAATACCAAGGGGGTAATCCATCGACCGTAAGTTGAAGCCGGCCGGGTGCCGCCATGTTGTAGCAGAACTTCACTTGCGTTAGCATTTCCATTGACTCCCATTCATTTCGGCGTCACTTTGACAGCGAATAACTTTACATCTGAGGCGTTTAAAGACTCCATTTGTCCATAATTTATTTCTAAAGAAACACAACAATGTATAAAGGGCTCCATTACCTTCTATGTTACACTATGGCCCCGTAGAAACAGTTTTAGTAAAAATAGGCTAACGATTGCGTCATAACCACTCGACTCTCTGTCGCGCTGTACAGAAATTACCGTACAGACAGGAGGAGAAGCTCGCAGGCGATCGGGGGGACGTCCCGTCAAGGGAGAAGCCCATAGATAATGAGTCCATAAAAGCAACGGAATACTTACTCCTGCTCACTCACGCCAATGAACTCTTTGCTCAAGTTCCCCGTCTTTGCAAGATTAACGTTGGCAATTTTCACGCACAGCTACTAGAAGATTTACGTCTGTCAGACAGGTTGCTCACGTCATCAAGCTTAGTTTGAGTCGGTTTGAGTCTGCGCGTCAGGAACGGAAGTGCTCAGAAATCGCTAAAAATGGGCTTCAACTGTCTCAACTGAGTTCCAATGAGATGGCTCTGTCCACCTCTTATACTGTCTATGGTCAATACAAAACTGTACATTTGGTCATGTGGTCTCTTGTCTGAGTGGGCGTTTCTTGACCAGAGGAAGCCTCCGTGTGGACCAGATGTTACACTGATAGTCAAATATAAATGAATACACACACATTACACATCAGTTTCATTAAACTAGACATTTTCACCTGATTTCCTTTCTCTCGCTCTAGTTCTTCTGGAGCTGAAGGAGTTTGTTTTCCCGAGTCGGGTCGACTCCGTGGAGGAAACCGAACCATGTGACCCAGATCAGGCGATCCTGCTGGAGCGCACGCCCACTCCATCCAGTGTGGAGGTGAAAACATACACACACTTGCTACAACTGTAAAACACATCTGGATGACGGATTATTTTCTGTCTGTGCTACTGCGTCCAGATGTCCATTTAAGGTGATGATACACAGGGCAACTTTTTGAGCAATGTTGCTGGGCAATGTTGCTGTCAACGGGCAACCACGTGAGACACAGGGCCCACAACCGACCTAAATTATCCAGATAGAAATGTATTGCTCATTTTCAATGGGAAAGTGCCCAAGCAACAATCGCTCGGCAAGATTGCCCAGCAACATTGCTCAAAAAGTTGCCCTGTGTATCATCACCTTTAGAGTCCAGATTGACTAATTCTGTGATTGTACTTCCTGTTCAGGATCTTTCACCCGGCAACATAGAAGAGGCAGAGGAGGCGGAGCCTGACGATGAGTTTAAAGACGCTATAGAGGTTAGAAAAATGTCTATCTATCTATCCTCTGTCTATTTATATTCTGTGTATCTTTCTATCTGTCTATCTATTTATCTTCTGTCTGTCTGTCTGTCTATCTTTCTATCAATCTATCTATCTATATATCTATCTATCCTCTGTCTATCTATTTATCTTCTGTCTTTCTATCTGTCTGTCTGTCTGTCAATCTGTATATCTATTTATCTATCCTCTGTCTATCCTCTATCTATTTATATTCTGTCTATCTTTCTTTCTATCTGTCCATCTATCCTCTATCTATTTATCTTCTGTCTATCTATCTATCTATCTATCTATCTATCTATCTATCTATCTATCTTCTGTCTGTCTGTCTATCCATCTATCCATCTATCTTATGTCTGTCTATCTATCTGTCTCTGTTTTCTGCTTCTGACATGTTTTCCTATTTCTGCTGTTTGCCTACTCAAGGAATCTCAGCTTGTGTTGCCGGTAAGTCGCTCCCTCTAGTGGTGTGGAGACTTATAGCATTAACAGACTGTGTGCAAATATTGTTTGTGTGTGTGTGTGTGTGTGTGTGTATGTGTGAACATAAGTGTAGATATGAGCCTAATCATTAACCAAGCAGATTTAGTTGTGTATGTGTGCGTGTACATGCCTGACCTCTGACCTCTACTCTGCTCTCGAAGGAAACTCCTCTGGCTTTAGTGGTGAGTAATAGAGTAACTGAGAGCATTTTGTGTTTGAGTAAATCCTCAGTTGCTCTAAGTGAGTAAAGAAACAGCCTGGTCTGAACTGTGTGTGTGTGTGTGTGTGTGTGTGTGTGTGTGTGTGTGTGTGTGTGTGTGTGTGTGTGTGTGTGTGTGTGTGTGTGTGTGTGTGTGTGTGTGTGTGTGTGTGTGTGTGTGTGTGTGTGTGTGTGTGTGTGTGTGTGTGTGTGTGTGTGTGTGTGTGTGTGTGTGTGTGTGTGTGTGTGCGCATGTTTTTGCATCAATGTAAATGCTCTGAATGCATGTGCACATGTTTATGTATGCAAGATGTGGATATTAGTGTATGATTGTTAGATTTTAGTCTGCCATTATAGGGTGCATCTCACAAAACCTGAAGGAAAGTAATACTTCACCATATAATTACAAAAAAATAATAATAATAATATATTGCTTAACAAAAATTATGCACTTTTTAAGGACTAATAGTTTATTTGACATTATTTTCGTGTCAATTATGCACACAAAAAAATTCGGTACTCTGTTTTCTTTAAGCTGAATATAATTTATTTAATTTTGATTATGTGGTGAAATGTGACCCGGAATATCGTTTGTGAGATTCACCTGTATGTCTTGACTGTGTTCAGTTGTGAATTTAAATTCAGATGCATCTCATTTAACTCAGGACCTCCAAATACATTTACATTTAATCATTTAGCAGACACTTCTATCCAATGCGACTTACAAATGAAGAGAGCAATAGAAGCAATCAAATCAACAATAGGGCAACAACTGCTGTAAATAAAAAAATAAGTTAATAGAATATAAATAAAAGAGAATAGCAAGAATTCAAATTGATGGGTCAAGTGTTGACTTTATGAAACCTGCAGTTGACCTTGACATCCAGACCTAATTATTTTTAAAGAATAAAAATGTAATGTATTTTGTAATAGGGGTCATGACTGTTGTAAAAGTGTCCGGCCCGTGTTTTGAATGTAGGTGTGGCGTGTACCCTATTTGCTACCAAAGATTCGGAGATGGAGAGTCCGTAAGGTGCCCGTACACATCATGATCTCTAGGTGTCCTGACTTCTAACCACACCCCCCTCTTGCCTTTATTCATTTCGGTGGCTTCTATTAACAGTGATGTCACAGGAAATGGTTACCCGTGACACTTTCTTCAGGTTCAGATTAAGGTTGATAATTAAAACAATATTTCTTTTGTGAGGTTCAAACTCATGCTAAAATTATTTGGGAATGTCCACTAACAATCACAGTGAGGAGTTGGGCTGATTTATTGTCCATTTAAGAGGTACAAAATGCATTCACGAATGTGTCCAATTTGGCATCTGAATTGAGCAATTGACCTGAAACGTGCCCAACGTTCACTAGAGCCTGTATTTGGAGGGCTAGTGGTGTTATAATGGTGTTAAGTGCTGTAGGGCACAGAAATCTGAGACCTCTCGCCAGTCATCGGATGACTGCAAGAAGTGAAGCTCAGCAGCAACAAACATGGGGTCAGATTTACAGAAGTCGCCACATGTGCCGGGGTTCCTCTGTTTGTAATGACTTGAGTAAATCTGATCTCTAAACCCAGAGCCCTCTACATACAGAACTAACAGCGAGAGAAAACCTTCACACGAGGACCGTGAGCCGTCAAAAGTAAAGGGCACTGATTTATGTATGTGGGTCAATGACACATCGAAGAACGATCTGGTTTAAAACGCATGTGCCATGTTCATATGTTTTTCCGAACCATTTGCAATTAATGTTTTGAATATATTGTAAATCACGAATCCATGTTTTCTTGGGTCATGCTATTTAATGTGCAAATAATAAAAAGGTCAAATTGGATGAAATATATATTTTTATCACTTACCTAAAGGGATAGTTCACCTAAAAATTAAAAAATTAAAATTCTGTAATTAATTAGTTCCAAACCTGTAAGACTTTTGTGAATCTTCGGAGCGCAAATGAAGATATTTTTAATGAAATCTGAGAGATTTCTGCCCCTCCATTGACAGGCTATGCAACCACCAGTTTCAAGCCCCATAAGATTGTAAAGACATCATTAAAGTAATCCCTGTGACTCCAGTGCGTTTGGAGATTCATATTTTGTAAATAAAGTGGAAAATTATGTGTTTTGCACAAAGCACTCGTGTCGCTACATAAAAAAATTACTTTAATGATGTCTTTACTACCTTTCTGGTGCTTAAAACTGGTAGTTGTGTAGCCTGTCAATGGAGGGGCAGAAATCTCTCAGATTTCATTAAAAATATCTTCATTTGTGTTCTGAAGATTAACAAAAGTCTTACAGGTTTGGGACGACATGAGGGAGAGTAATTAATGACAATTTTCAGTTTTGGAAGAACTGTCAATTTAAGACTGTTATAGCTGAGTGTAGTCAGACAGACTGACTTTTTAAAGACTTTTTTTGACCAAAAAAATAAAAATATTATACATGTATAGAATGCTCATTTTAAAACGTGCATTCAGATGATTCTTTAATCATTTAATGAACTAATCAGTCTGGTGAAAAATGAACATCATTGACCCATATATGTCAGTGTTATTTAAAGGTTTCATGCAGGTTCTGTCATGTGGAGGTGAAGTGGAAGATCTTTTGGTGTCGAGCTGAGCATGAGAGCTAATGGGTTCTGTCTCTTCTCATCTGTACAGAAGTTGAATATGATTCATTTATCGTTGTGTGTATACGTGTTTATTTATAGGATGACGAGGACGTGTCTTCTGTTGTTCCTGAGTTTGACACCATCTCTGATAACGGGTTGTTGAGCAGAAACGAGCCCATCCGCAGTAAAGTGTCCAAACTTACTGAAAAACTGCGCAAGCGGGTCCCTACCAACGCCACCGGTTACTACGGATCTCTTTATACTTTGTGTTTCACCTTGTTTATTATTCAGTCATGTGAAAAAGAAAGTACACCCTTTTGAATTCTATGGTTTTACGCATCAGGATTTAATAAAAATCAACTGGACGTTATTAGGTCTTAACATTACGTAAATACAACCTCAGATGAACAACAAGACATGACACATTACACTGTCAATATATATTTAACAAAAATAAAGCTGAAATGGAGAAGCCATGTGTGACAAACTAAGTACACCCTATGATTTAATAGCTTGTAGAACTTCAGTTCATTGAGGTTTGCGGGCATATGTTTACGCACCGCTTCTCTCAAGGTCCCGCCACAGCATTTCAATCAGTCTGGATTTGTAACACCTTGATTATTTTCTTTTTCAGACCTTCTGTTGTAGATTTTCTGGTGTTCTTGGGATCATTGTCCTGTTGCATGACCCAGTTTTAGCCGTCGGGACAGATGGCCTCACATTGATTTGTAATATGTCATGTGTTGTTGTATTTACCTAATTTAAGACCTGCCTAGGATCAGATGATACTTTATTATGTCCTGATACGTAAAACCATGGGATTCAAAAGGGTGTCGTTTCTTCTTTCCATGACTCTCTCTCGTTATAACCGTATTGTCTTTTGTTCTTCCTCAGGAAACTGTTTCCAGTGCAATTCAGCGTTTTCTGTTTTAAAGAAAAGGGTATGGCTTCTGATCCTCTTTCCGTTGAACATGCTTTCCCATTTCAATTGTGTGTGATATTGTTTCACCGATAACCACTTTATTTTTCTAGAGGAACTGCAGTAACTGTGGTGCCAGTTGTTGTTCCCGCTGTTGCTCGTATAAAGTGTTCAAATCCAGTATGGGAGCCACAGGTATGAGTGGGACATGTGAATTTGGCAAAGAATGTTTTATTTAAGATGGTTTTACACTGTGCTTTTTTCCCCTCTCTGAATCTTTAGCTCCCGAAGCCCAAAGAGAGACTGTGTTTGTTTGTTCTATGTGCAATACTTTCCTCAGCACCAAGTAGGATTGGTCATCATCCTGAAAAACTCTTCCACCATTGCAATCCTGTAAGAGAAACTAGGGGTGGACCACAAGATGGCGGCTTCAGTGTTTCTTGATGTTTCTTTCGTTCTATCTGGAGCATTTCACATGGAGAACCAACATCCTGCACCTTTTCGGTTTCTTCAACTCTTTTCTTGCGGTTCCTCAGAGTATTATTTTCTCTGTTCAAAATTCGTGACCCCCTATCTTTGCGTTTAATGGTGACCTTTTTCTTTGGAATATGCTGCTTTCCCCAGCCAACTCTAATATATCAAGATTGGTTGGTTTATTTGGACCTCACCTTGCTGCGGTATCAGATGCTGTAGTTTCATCAACCCTTATTATAACATCACTTTCCAGAACTTGAGCCCTGGTGGGAAATCAGGTTAATATCCGGGGCCCTGTTCATCTATGATATAATATCATCGTATAAAGGAAAACAAGACCATATAAATGATGTTGGTCATTTTTTTATCATTGCATTGGATGGTAAAAGCAATGGATCTGAGCATTTCAGAAGGTTTATATTGTTTCACGTAATTTCAAATCTGATTAGTTGAGTTGACATCAATGGTTTATGAAGAAAATACATTTTATTTCTCTCATAAACCTGTTGACTTAACTCCTGTTACGATTCGTAAACCTTCTGCTAGCTGCTTACCTGCTTTATCCCGTGATTGTTGATTTATATAATTTATTTGTGTGCTTTTTTTTTATCTGGAAAATGTTTATTTATAAATGTATCTTTGTTTTTTTGGGAAATCCTCAGTAACCATTTATAATAATCTAAATAATGCTACCATAGTCTATCAGCAAATAACTTCTCTTCAATAATTATCCTCTTCACATTGTTATTGAACGAATGAGCTATGTTCGTGTCATTGTTTTATTTTTCCGTCTGATTGTTTTTAAGCCATGGTTGAATGTAAAAACAGACTATTAACGGTTATAGAGCTATGAATGTCCTACTACTGCTATTTAAACATAAATTCAAATCTGCTGGGTAAGTTATCCATAGTGTAACGCCATGTTTCTTTGGTTGCATCTACTGTTACAGTAATAAAAAATCTGAATATAAGTTTTGCTGTGTGGAGTTTCATTGAGGACGTTTTGCCTAATTCTAAAAGTTGTTGAGGTTCTTCTCGCGCAACCAAAACAGTGTTTTGCCGCCTTTTGCGCAGTTATCTAACCGCCATTTATTTTAAAAGACACCATTAATGGCGCTGTTTCTATGGTTACCTCAGGCGAACGCCACTTCTCCTCGTGACGAGCGTCTGTAAGTCAAGTTTATATTGTAATCTTTGTGATTTCTGACGAGGCTGTTAGATATTAACATTATTTGAGACTGTTAGATATAAACATTGTTTGACTGACTGAACCCTAATCATAGAATCTGAGCGAGCGGCGTCTCCAGTCCGTTGCTCCTCCCCCCGCGCATCATCACATTGTGTGATTGTTTCCGGCTCCGCCCCCTTTTTTATCCCCGAGCGCAACCGTTTATTCCCGTGAACGAACAACCCGTCTTTAGCACCGGGACAGGATCGTGATCGCGCCCTCGCATGGCAACATGGCCACAGAGGTGAGAAACAGCCTCGTATAACCTCATTTTTGCACTAGCTGCGTTCAGTAGAACCGTTTTTGTAAGATACTTCTGAATCGGCGTCATTTTGATGGTTTAAATCTGGGTTGGAGATCACGTGACGTTACAGGCAAACGCGAATAGCCGTCTCTGTTTTTACGCGTCGCTTTTTAAAACCATGATCGGTTGTGATGATTACTAAACTAAACATACAATACACAGTGTAAACTAAACGCTAGCATGGCCAGCCACAAGTGAAGCACGATAGATAGATAGATTGATAGATAATGTCATCATGTGGTAATCTAAAATAACTGTTTTTTTATTTCAGTCAATTGTTATTTATTCGGACTGACTATACTGGGTTACCACCATTCTGCAGGGTGCGATCATAGAGATTTCCCAAGTTGTTACAGGGACTAGTATAGCCTATTGTTGACATCATTCGGGTTTGTTTATGTCAGATCGAGTGCTGCTGTTATCAAAGCATTGAGGGGGATGCTAATTTTGTAATCCATGTTAATATGTCGGTTTTGTAATGGTCAATATTTTATTAAAAGACAGTAAAACAAACAGAAGTGCTCTCAAATATTTGGACCGTAGCTGTTGATAGCTTGGCGGTGTTCAGATTGTCTGAGATGCTGTTGCTTAGATCAGACCCGTGAAAGAAAGTGTGTTCTTAAAGCATTGTGTTCATTCATCATTCATCACTCTCGAGATGACAAAGGTTTGTGTGTGTGTGTGTGTGTGTGTGTGTGTGTGTGTGTGTGTGTGTGTGTGTGTGTGAACTGTATAGTCGGAAGGATCCGGTGCCGTATTTAAATCAGCGCGAGCAGCGCGTGTTGTGACGTGGCCGAGCGCGCAGCTGGACATTAAAGAGGATAAAAGCGGCTGTCCGCGGGTCGTTAAGCTCTTTTGGCGAAAACATATTGGCAGATATCGTGTTTGTGAGTTTCCCTTGTCGGTGACCGGTTCAGGAATGATTTCAGCACCGCGGACAGCGACGGACCGAACAAAACTCCCGTACTGTCACGAGTCTGTAAGGGTTTTATTTTTATTTCCCTCTTTAAAAGTGCTTTAAAACTGGCGATATGTGATTTCCTGTGGTAATTTCATGTGGTTTGGGGATTTAAATGTAATTACACAAGTTATTCTGAGGTTTATGTAGGAGTCAAAATGTGTGTCCGTTGTCCCGGCGCGTAACCTTGAACGCGCGCGACGCGCGTGATAGTGTGTTTCGAGCGCGAGATCTCTTTGTTTAATCTCGTGGGTGCAGAAAACAAACGCACTCCTCACGTTTACGATCAATAATCATTCTGTACAGGATACACCGGCTGGTTAGATTGTGTTTTGATGGTTTTGGTATCAGCGGTGAGTGTGTGTGTGTTAAATGATCGTCTCCTCGCGATCGATCGGTTGTGCTCGCGGGAGTCAGGAACAGTGTCTCTCATCTTTCTGAGACTGAGACAGTTACCGAGAGCGGCTTGCATGCATAATTAACGAGGCATTTAGTAACAACAGCCCAGAGCGTTTAGTCATGATAAGTCTCGGTTTACCCGTACATAGTGGCGTACCATAGTACACAGTGGTGGTGTCAGATGGTAAAACGCATGAATGATTAGCATATTCACGTATAAACTGCAAGTACTTCAAAAACCATGGTGCTAGCATTGTTTATGTCTGAAAATAAGGTATTACAAACAATATTTTATCAATTGTTCCATGCATATGTGATTCTTGACCACTGTATTCTTTGAAGTACTATGCAGTGGTATATTTATTATTCCACATAATGGTATATACTGAAGTACCATGCTTTCATTAGACCTTTTCCCAACATCTTTTAGTTATGGATCCTTCTGAGTGTATTTCGGGGAGTTCAACAGGTAAATGTGGTGTTGTGCATTTATTTGACACCAGATATGCCTCTATCTGAGCGGTGCAATAATTCTTGAGATCTGTGCAAATTAGTTCAGTGCCAGAGATTGACCCTGTCCACAGCATTAAAGAGCTGTGTGTCAAGACACTCTCTCTCTCTCTCTCTCTCTCTCTGTGTGTGTGTGTGTGTGTGTGTGTGTGTGTGTGTGAACCAGCGCGTGCTGTCTCAGCCTGTTACTATATCAGAAGGAGTCATGAACTGGCAGGACCTGCTACTAAAACAGAGCCAGTTTTTAAATAAACAGGTTGCCAGGACTGGCCATGTAATAACTAATTATATCGTCCCTTGCTATCTGAATAATCTTTTTCTGACCTTTAGATGTCCAAAGATAAAGAATAACATACTAATGGGCTTTTATATGTTGCGTTATAAACGACGTGTCATAGCAGAAAGCCACTGACAGTGAGCTTTAAAGTGTGGTAACACTTTATTTTACAGTGTCCTTGTTACATGTACTTACCATAGCAACAACAGTAAATTATGAATACTTACATGTAATTAACCCTCAACCAAATCCTAATCCTACCCTAACCCTATAGTAAGTACATGTAGTTAATTAATCTTACTCAGTACTTAAATATATAATTACACTGTAATTAACACAAAGTGTTTGTGTAGTTTGATGCTGTGCAGTTTGTCATGGAATGTGGTTTCATATTATAGTCTTCCAGTGTATCTTTATAGGTTTGATCATTCGGGTTTGTGAACACAATACCGGTACTGCAAGAGAAAGAGGTGTAAAGGCAGGGAAAGTGTGGGGGATGGAAGGACCAGCTCATGCTGATGTTAGTGTGTGTTGGCAGTGACAGATGGCCAGTCTCTCTGATGTTTGTGTGTGTCCATGCAACACTGGCAATGAAGTGCCCATTCAATTACGAGGTCATCACTGGAATCATCTATAAGTTAATGACGACATCACTGCATTACCGTATGAACAAATGATGACATCGCTGACTGCATTACTCTGAGTTTTATGATCATTAGCTCACAAAATGCAGTGTCGTCATTAGCTTAGAGTAATGCAGTGATGAGCTAACTACGACACTCTGAGCTAATGATAAAACATTGCATTACTCTAATGTAACGACAGCATCACTGCATTACTCTGAGATACTGACAACACTACATTACTCTGAGATACTGACATCACTGCATTACTCTGAGATACTGACATCACTGCATTACTCTGAGATAATGACATCACTGCATTACTCTGAAATACTGACATCACTGCATTACTCTGAGATAATGACATCACTGCATTACTCTGAGATAATGACATCACTGCATTACTCTGAGATAATGACATCACTGCATTACTCTGAGATAATGACATCACTGCATTACTCTGAGATAATGACATCACTGCATTACTCTGAGATACTGACATCACTGCATTACTCTGAAATACTGACATCACTGCATTACTCTGAGATAATGACATCACTGCATTACTCTGAGATAATGACATCACTGCATTACTCTGAGATACTGACATCACTGCATTACTCTGAGATACTGACATCACTGCATTACTCTGAGATACTGACATCACTGCATTACTCTGAGATACTGACATCACTGCATTACTCTGAGATAATGACATCACTGCATTACTCTGAAATACTGACATCACTGCATTACTCTGAGATACTGACATCACTGCATTACTCTGAGATAATGACATCACTGCATTACTCTGAAATACTGACATCACTGCATTACTCTGAAATACTGACATCACTGCATTACTCTGAGATAATGACATCACTGCATTACTCTGAAATACTGACATCACTGCATTACTCTGAGATACTGACATCACTGCATTACTCTGAAATACTGACATCACTGCATTACTCTGAGATACTGACATCACTGCATTACTCTGAGATAATGACATCACTGCATTACTCTGAGATAATGACATCACTGCATTACTCTGAGATAATGACATCACTGCATTACTCTGAAATACTGACATCACTGCATTACTCTGAGATACTGACATCACTGCATTACTCTGAGATAATGACATCACTGCATTACTCTGAAATACTGACATCACTGCATTACTCTGAGATAATGACATCACTGCATTACTCTGAGATAATGACATCACTGCATTACTCTGAGATAATGACATCACTGCATTACTCTGAGATAATGACATCACTGCATTACTCTGAGATAATGACATCACTGCATTACTCTGAGATACTGACATCACTGCATTACTCTGAAATACTGACATCACTGCATTACTCTGAGATAATGACATCACTGCATTACTCTGAGATAATGACATCACTGCATTACTCTGAGATACTGACATCACTGCATTACTCTGAGATACTGACATCACTGCATTACTCTGAAATACTGACATCACTGCATTACTCTGAAATACTGACATCACTGCATTACTCTGAGATAATGACATCACTGCATTACTCTGAAATACTGACATCACTGCATTACTCTGAGATACTGACATCACTGCATTACTCTGAGATAATGACATCACTGCATTACTCTGAAATATTGACATCACTGCATTACTCTGAGATAATGACATCACTGCATTACTCTGAGATAATGACATCACTGCATTACTCTGAGATACTGACATCACTGCATTACTCTGAGATAATGACATCACTGCATTACTCTGAAATACTGACATCACTGCATTACTCTGAGATACTGACATCACTGCATTACTCTGAGATAATGACATCACTGTATTACTCTGAAATACTGACATCACTACATTACTCTGAGATACTGACATCAGTACTCAGAGTACTGACATCACTGCACTACTCTGAGATAATGACATCACTGCATTACTCTGAGATAATGACATCACTGCATTACTCTGAGATACTGACATCACTGCATTACTCTGAGATACTGACATCACTGCATTACTCTGAAATACTGACATCACTGCATTACTCTGAAATACTGACAGCATCACTGCATTACTCTGAGATAATGACATCACTGCATTACTCTGAGATAATGACATCACTGCATTACTCTGAGATACTGACATCACTGCATTACTCTGAGATAATGACATCACTGCATTACTCTGAGATAATGACATCACTGCATTACTCTGAAATACTGACATCACTGCTTTACTCTGAGATACTGACATCACTGCTTTACTCTGAGATACTGACATCACTGCTTTACTCTGAGATACTGACATCACTGCTTTACTCTGAGATACTGACATCACTGCATCACTCTGAGATACTGACATCACTGCATTTCTCTGAGATAATGACATCACTGCATTACTCTGAGATAATGACATCACTGCATTACTCTGAGATAATGACATCACTGCATTACTCTGAGATACTGACATCACTGCATTACTCTGAGATAATGACATCACTGCATTACTCTGAGATACTGACATCACTGCATTACTCTGAGATACTGACATCACTGCTTTACTCTGAGATACTGACATCACTGCATCACTCTGAAATACTGACATCACTGCATTACTCTGAGATAATGACATCACTGCATTACTCTGAGATAATGACATCACTGCATTACTCTGAGATAATGACGTCACTGCATTACTCTGAGATACTGACATCACTGCTTTACTCTGAGATACTGACATCACTGCATCACTCTGAAATACTGACATCACTGCATTACTCTGAGATACTGACATCACTGCATTACTCTGAGATAATGACATCACTGCATTACTCTGAGATAATGACGTCACTGCATTACTCTGAGATAATGACATCACTGCATTACTCTGAGATACTGACATCACTGCATTACTCTGAAATACTGACATCACTGCATTACTCTGAAATACTGACAGCATCACTGCATTACTCTGAGATAATGACATCACTGCATTACTCTGAGATAATGACATCACTGCATTACTCTGAGATAATGACATCACTGCATTACTCTGAGATAATGACATCACTGCATTACTCTGAGATAATGACATCACTGCATTACTCTGAGATAATGACATCACTGCATTACTCTGAGATACATTACTCTGAGATAATGACATCACTGCATTACTCTGAGATAATGACATCACTGCATTACTCTGAGATACTGACATCACTGCATTACTCTGAGATAATGACATCACTGCATTACTCTGAGATAATGACATCACTGCATTACTCTGAAATACTGACATCACTGCTTTACTCTGAGATACTGACATCACTGCTTTACTCTGAGATACTGACATCACTGCTTTACTCTGAGATACTGACATCACTGCTTTACTCTGAGATACTGACATCACTGCATCACTCTGAGATACTGACATCACTGCATTACTCTGAGATAATGACATCACTGCATTACTCTGAGATAATGACATCACTGCATTACTCTGAGATAATGACATCACTGCATTACTCTGAGATACTGACATCACTGCATTACTCTGAGATAATGACATCACTGCATTACTCTGAGATACTGACATCACTGCATTACTCTGAGATACTGACATCACTGCTTTACTCTGAGATACTGACATCACTGCATCACTCTGAAATACTGACATCACTGCATTACTCTGAGATAATGACATCACTGCATTACTCTGAGATACTGACATCACTGCATTACTCTGAGATACTGACATCACTGCATTACTCCTTAAGTTCCAAGTAATGCAGTGATGTCATAATACGCTCTAAATTATGCAGTGATGTGCTAACGATGACATCACTGCACTACGCTGCAAAGCGTTCTAAAACCACCATCTAATGTCACTGACTAGAAAGTAAGTTCATAGCAGTGATGTAACTGAATACTAGTGGCTAATTTCCATGCCCACACTTCTGTTTTTAATAGAAAATGCTACAACAGAGGACAGAAACTTCGTCAAGCCATTTTTCATGGATTGTTTAACATCTAGCAGCCCAAGGTAATGTAATTTATGATTAGATCAGACTGTATCGCACTGTAACCCTCTCTCTCTCTCTCTCTCTCTCTCTCTCTCTCTCTCTCTCTCTCTCTCTCTCTCTCTCTCTCTCTCTCTCTCTCTCCCTCTGCTGTAGTTTCATAACCTTCAGGAGTTGAGACACAGCGCATCTCTAGCCAACAAGGTCTTCATTCAGAGGGACTACACTGATGGCACCATATGCAAGTTCCAGACCAAGTTCCCCTCCGAGTTAGACAGCAGGGTAAGTGTGTGTGTGTGATGGGTAGGTTTAGGGGTCGGGTTAGTGTGTGTGTGAGTGTGTGTGATTGGTAGGTTTAGGGGTCGGGTTAGTGTGTGAGTGTTGTGATGGGTAGGTTTAGGGGTCGGGTTTGTGTGTGTGTGTGTGTGATGGGTAGGTTTAGGGGTCGGGTTAGTGTGTGTGTGATGGGTAGGTTTAGGGGTCGGGTTAGTGTGTGTGTGTGAGTGTGTGTGTGATGGGTAGGTTTAGGGGTCGGGTTAGTGTGTGTGTGTGTGTGAGTGAGTGTGTGTGGATAGGTTTAGGGGTCGGGTCAGTGTGTGTGTGTGAGTGTGTGTGTGATGGGTAGGTTTAGGGGTCGGGTTAGTGTGTGTGTGAGTGTGTGTGATGGATAGGTTTAGGGGTCGGGTTAGTGTGTGAGTGTTGTGATGGGTAGGTTTAGGGGTTGGGTTAGTGTGAGTGTGTGAGATGGGTATGTAGGGCTCGGGTTAGTGTAAGAGGACAGAATATACAGTTTGAGCAGTATAAAAACCATTACACCTATGGAGAGTACCCAGAAAGATAGCGAACCAGACATTGTGTGTGTGTGTGTGTGTCTGTGTGTGTGTGTGTGTGTGTGGCAGAACAAAAGAGAGACAACGCAAGTAAAAGTAGCGGATGAGAAAAAGACAACAAGGCTCTTCACTCAGAGAAACTCTGCTCTTCAGCAAAAGCACTGCTGAGTGCGCAAACTCCACACAACACACACATAATGAGCTGCTAATAGAGCTGATAATAGAGCTGATAATAGAGCTGTTTAAAGGTGTAAGATCATGTTACAGACAGCCAGTAAAGACTTGCTGAGTAAATGGCAGGGAGAGACCGTTTAACATGTAAAGCTTTCAGTGCCATTCTCACACTCTGTTTATTAATTATGACGAAATTGAGTGTTTTTATAACTTCCATCACCTGATCGAAGTCGGTTTTTGATTCAAACCCACTAGTTTATGCCATATAATGACCTCCATGCTGCTCTCTGATTGGCCGACTCATCTTGTCCTTCCATCTGATTGGTCAGATTGAGAGGACCCTGTTTGAGGACACGGTGAAGACGCTGAATAATTACTACGCCGAGGCGGAGAAGATCGGAGGCCAGTCGTACCTCGAGGGCTGTCTGGCCTGCCTCACGGTTTACCTCATATTCCTCTGCATCGAGACACGCTATGAGAAGGTATGTTATCAGTTTCAGATAAACCCACCCTGAAATGACACGTAAAACGAAAGCTAACAGTCATTGGTTACTTTATGTGTTGTTTTTGCAGAATTTGGAGAATATAAATGAGTCTGACAGTTTATGTGTGTTTGTGCAGGTGCTGAAGAAGATCTCGCTGTACATTCAGGAGCAGAATGAGAAGATCTACGCTCCAAGAGGTCTCCTCATCACAGACCCTTTAGAGAGAGGCATGAGGGTCGTATCCTTACACCGTCTAGAAAGTGTGTCTGTCTGTGTGTGTGTGTGTGTGTACCTACTTAACTATATTTTGGGGACAAACTTGTACCCAGAAGTGACCAAACCCTGACAAAATCTCCAGAAACCTCCCTTTAGGGACGTAATTAAAGATTTTTAAAAAATGCGGAAAGTTAGGGGTCGGGTTAGTGTGTGTGTGTGATGAGTAGGTTTAGGGGCAGGGTTAGTGTAAGGAGACAGAATATACAGTTTGTACAGTATAAAAACCATTACGTCTATGGAATGTCCCCATTTAAATAGCTAAGTAAACGTACGTACGTGTGTGTGTGTGTGTGTGTGTGTGTGTGTGTGTGTGTGTGTGTGTGTGTGTGTGTGTGTGTGTGTGTGTGTGTGTGTGTGTGTGTGTGTGTGTGTGTGTGTGTGTGTGTGTGTGTGTGTGTGTGTGTGTGTGTGTGTGTGTGTGTGTGTGTGTGTGTGTGTGTGTGAGAGAGAGAGCTTTCCTGTAGCTCAAACAGTAGAGCATTGGCGGTTGCAGCTGCTAAGGTCATGGGTTCGACTCCTAGGGAAAGCAAGATCCGATAAGAACGTACATGTGTACCTTTAAATGCAATGTAAGTCGCTTTGGATAAAAGTGTCTGCCAAATGCACAAATGTAAATGTGTGTGTGTGTGTGTGTGTGTGTGTGTGAGAACAAATGGTCAGTGGAAAGTGCTTATTCTTCAGAAACTCTTGTTAGTCCACCTTATGAGATCAAACTAAATATTTCATGAATGCTTTTATACCATTTTTATTTTGTATGAGGTTTTCAATTAATGCAACCCTGAAGACAAGATTGTGAACAAATGTGGAGTACAGTTAATAATGTTTTTGGTTTATATATTAATTAAGATTTTTATTTTAATAAATTGTATATCAATTCAACAAATTGAATTGAATTTCAAATAAACTAAATGTTATTTTTTATCAAATTAAGTTTTTAACTAAGATTTAAATGTATTATTTAAAATTATTCAATTTTATTTACTGTACATTAAATATAAATTTAACAGATTATGTTGAATGTCAAATACGCTATTTTTGTGGCTTTATTGTAATTGGACAGCGGTTATCATTGACTACAACTAAAACCATAAAACAAATTTAAAAAAAAAAACATTTTCATTACTTGAAAAATTTAAATTAAATAAAAAAATGCGAGAAAGAAAAATTTCTCATTTTCATTTTGTTTATGTTCAAGTACTAAAATAACTAAAAAAAATTTTTTTAAATAAACACTATATCGACAAAACCTAATAATAACACAAATAAATTGATAAAACCTTTACTAAAATTAAAAATAAAACCAAAAACTATAATAGTATATTATAAATTGGACACCAGTTTTGATCCTATTCATGATAGGTAGTCTAGTATGAGAATGTATGTGTAAAGTTATTTCTTTATCCAGTAGTTTGTGCATGTAAGGTTGTTTAATGCTGTGTGAGTTTTTTTCTTAACCCGAGTGTGTGTTAGATTGAGATCAGTGTGTATGAGGACCGTGGCTCCAGCGGCTCAAGCTCAGGAAGCAGCACAACCAGCAGCAGCGGACGATGATTCACACACACACACACACTGTAACATTCACCCGTCCACACGCCTTCATACTGACGCCCGCTGACCGGTCAGCATCGCCAAACAGAAACACACCTGACATGAACTGCCTCCACAAGACACATCAGCTGTGAGCAGCGCGTCATTACCTCAGTCATCTGGATAGATGTTACCCTCCGGCACCTTCACAAACCTGCAGTCGTTGCACATCCCGAGTCACTAGGTATGGAAGCTTGTTTCCACCACAAAATGAAAAAGCTAATCACGACTTTTTATTTCACAATTCTGACTTTTTTTCTCTTCAAATTCAGAAAAAAATTGCCAGAAATGTGAGATTTAAAGTAAGAATTGGGAGGTGAAACTCAAAATTCTGAGAAAAAGTCAGATTTGCAAGATGTAAACTCAGAATTGCAAGAAAAAAAGTCAGAATTCTGAGATGCAAATTTAGAATTCCAACATAAAAAGTCAGAATTTTGAGAAGGAAATTTAGAATAGCAAGAAAAAAAGTCCGAATTCTGAGAGGTAAATTTAGAATTCCAAGAAAAAAAAGTCAGAATTCCGAGATGTAAATTTAGAATAGCAAGAAAAAAAGTCAGAATTCTGAGATGCAAATTTAGAATTCCAACATAAAAAGTCAGAATTTTGAGAAGGAAATTTAGAATAGCAAGAAAAAAAGTCCGAATTCTGAGAGGTAAATTTAGAATTCCAAGAAAAAAAAGTCAGAATTCCGAGATGTAAATTTAGAATAGCAAGAAAAAAAGTCAGAATTCTGAGATGTAAATTTAGAATTCCAGCATAAAAAGACAGAATTCTGAGAGGTAAATTTGGAATTGCAAGAAAAAAAAGTCAGAATTCTGAGATGTAAATTTAGAATTTCAACATAAAAAGTCAGAATTCCGAGATGGAAACTCAGAATTCCAAGAAAAAAAGTCAGAATTCCGAGATGTAAATTTAGAATAGCAAGAAAAAAAGTCAGAATTCTGAGATGTAAATTTAGAATTCCAACATAAAAAGTCAGAATTCTGAGATGTAAATTTAGAATTGCAAGAAAAAAAGTCCGAATTCTGAGATGTAAATTTAGAATTCCAACATAAAAAGTCAGAATTCTGAGGTAAATTTGGAATTGCAAGAAAAAAAAGTCAGAATTCTGAGATGTAAATTTAGAATTCCAACATAAAAAGTCAGAATTCCGAGATGGAAACTCAGAATTCCAAGAAAAAAAGTCAGAATTCCGAGATGTAAATTTAGAATAGCAAGAAAAAAAGTCACAATTCTGAGATGTAAATTTAGAATTCCAACATAAAAAGTCAGAATTCTGAGATGTAAATTTAGAATTGCAAGAAAAAAAGTCCGAATTCTGAGATTTAAATTTAGAATTCCAACATAAAAAGTCAGAATTCTGAGGTAAATTTGGAATTGCAAGAAAAAAAAGTCAGAATTCTGAGATGTAAATTTAGAATTCCAACATAAAAAGTCAGAATTCCGAGATGGAAACTCAGAATTCCAAGAAAAAAAGTCAGAATTCCGAGATGTAAATTTAGAATTCCAAAATAAAAAGTCAGAATTTTGAGAAGGAAATTTAGAATAGCAAGAAAAAAAGTCCGAATTCTGAGAGGTAAATTTAGAATTCCAAGAAAAAAGGTCAGAATTCCGAGATGTAAACTTAGAATTCCGAGAGAAAAAAGTCAGAATTATGAGATGGAAACTCAGAATTCTGTGGGGAAAAAGTCAGAATTGCGAGATAAAAAGTCACAATGACCTTGTCCACTTTCTTATTCCGTGGCAGAAACGAGCTTCCACACTAGCTGTAGCATTCTGGGTAAAGCTCACATAAGCTTCTGTCACTGTTATATGCAATCTCACTCACGACGCCATGTGATGTAGTTGCCGATCGGCACATGACAGTCTTCCATTTCCATGATTCTTGACCTTTTATTCGATTATTTGGAGATCAGCACTTTTACTGGAATTATCGACTAGAAGTCACATTTTAGACTAGGATCAGTAGTTGTTGATGAGAGGACAGTGTGGATATCTGACCCCAGACACTGCCATCTTAAACCACGGGTACTATTTATGACTTTATTCATGATTTGCTTTATTTCACAGTGTGCTAATCGCTCATGCTTTGTAATATAACACGCCGTCAGAGCAGAAACGAGTCCTGATGACGTGACTGCCAAGAGCCAGAGCTTCCTCACGTGATCCTTCACCATGAGCTTCCATTTCTTACTGTGAACCTTCAGCCTCTGTTTACGCAGAGAAAGAGGAAAAGATGAAGAGAATGCTTTTTCTGTTGCGTAGCAAAATAAATGAACAATGATGGTCAAACAAGCCAGCTCTGCGTTTTCATTTTCAATCCACATTTTATATATATAAAAAAAAAAAAATCAAATTTATTTAGGCATTTTCTACTTGATTAAAAAGAAATGCTTTTAGGTAAAAAAAAAAAAAAAAAAAAAACCTGTGAGATGTGAATTGTAAGATGTAAGAAAAGTCAGAATTGAACAAAGTTGGTCAAACAAGCCAGTTCTGCATTTTCTTATTCAATCCACGTTATTTAAATGTGTTTTTTCCCCCACTTTATTTAGGTATTTTCTTTACTTGATTAAAAAATGTATTGTTTTTTTTTGGCATTAAGTATTATTGTATATAATATAATATAATAATTCGTTTTTTATAATAAAATGTGATTTTTAATCGAAATATCAATTCAACACATTATGTTGAATGTCATATAAGCTAAATATTTTTTTATATTGAATAAAATTATTATAATAATATTTGTTTTTATGTTATTTTAGATAATAGTTTAAATAAAAACTCTCATATCTAGTTCTCAATACAAATAATTTCTTATATTTGTGTATTTATTAGAACAGTAACACCATTATGCTTCAAGCTATTAATTTACATACATATTTGGCAGACGGTTTTACCCAAAGCGACTTCCATTGAATTCAAAATATAAATTTTTTTAACTTAAAAAAATCGAGAAATGATAATATGCATATTTATATTGATTTAGTGTCTTTATATTGATTTGGGTGTCCCTTATAGAGTCACCAGGTAAGGTCCTGGGATGAAAAGATAGTCAACATGAGATTCCAGATGTGAGCCGGATCTGGGCCGGCACTGTTGCTGTCTGGGAGCCTTTCACCTGTCCTTTCCTCACTGACCGTCTTCTCCTTATAGAGACGGACATTCATGCATAAACGCTTTACAGCACCACTGTGTTTGTCGGTCTGTCTTCATAGTCTTCATCATGCTGACCGAGAGACTAACAGATCCTGAGACTGAGAGGAACACAACGCCTACGGAGACTCTTGAGTAACACACGGAGACACTCAGCACTGAGACCAGGAGAAGCTCAGGAAGATGAAGACGAGAACCGGCAGGAGAGGAAGAGGCGCTGCTCTCGGACCCGAAGCCACCGCTGGAGAGAGAGAGAGAGAGAGAGGATGATGATGCAGGACTGACGACACAGTTAAAGTATGAGACAGAAAGAGATGGCGAATCTAATGTGGAAAGAACAGAGGAACGGGTGTGAAAGGAGCCGGTGGAGGTTCAGGTAAAGTCTTCCCGGCGAACGTTCTGTCACGGTTCTCTCAAAGTTATGAACAAACGTTCTTCTAGAACCGTTAATAGAGCATTTGTTCAAAATTATCTGGTCTTTAATAATGTTAGAACGGGAATATTTATTTTTTTCTGAAAGGTTTTAGTTGACATTTATAAATGTTGCTACTCGTTTCAAGAACGTTCAGAAATAACGTTTTCATAACTTAACGGGAACGTTAGCAAAACGTTCTTTGAACATATTTGTGGTTTGTAGTTTGCACCGAGACATTAGTTATTAGGCTGTTTTGCATTATGAGACTGAAATTCTTTCTATTTCCTTCCATTAAACTCTGAGGCGCATTTCTAGCCTGTTAGTTATAGATTTTACTACACTGATTTTTTGATTTTTTTTACAGTGTTGTAATAAAATAGTGGAGCACGTTTTATGATGAAAATACTATTTTAGTCTTTCTACTTCAAAACATTACATATAATTCAATGTGTTGCTTGACGTTTCTTTGTAATTATTTGTGAAGTGTACATGAACAAAGCTGGAGGACAGAATCACACTCACACTGCGCTCACAATCGCTTTAGTTTTATTGCACACCATTCCCATGTTAAGTAAACAAGTTGTTCTAAAAAAACGTATAAAAACCCAGAAAACAAGATAAACATTTTCAGATTTAGTTAGCGCTGACTAGGTTTTTTTTCCCTTAGAAATGTACTGGAGTTACAGCACAAGTGTTAGCAGTAGAAGAGTGTGTGTGTGTGTGTGGTGTCCTCAGACATCTGCTTTAATGAGATCATGGTGATGATGATCCCGTACTGTCCGGTTGAAACACTCAGCCTGTCACTGTTTGAGCAAGAGAGACAACAGAAATATTTTATTCAAGGATAAATCATTAATTTAAGAATAATTCACAGAAGCTATCATATTCTCAACGTTTACTTTATATTCTGAATCTTTTCTCTCTTTCTGAAAATCTGCTCCAGAGATCTGAGCTGTCATCAGCCAATCAGAGCAATTAAATATGCAAAACCCATAAAAACAAAACAAATGGAATTTTTTTTCTTTCTTTTTTTTACATCATTACATCGTTTGGAGCATAAGAAACAAATGGCGAGAAAAAAATCTTAATTTTTTTATTAATACTTTATATGTCCTATGCACCAGGATTCAGTTAATTAGAAAATGAAATTAAAATGTATTTTAATTATATTTTTATATTCAGTCAATTTTCTTTCTATAACGTGTCCTCTGTAAAAGATATGAGAATAATGTTGGTAAATGTTCAGAAAATGTTTATATTGCATTTAGTATGCATTCTAGAGCCTGCATTTAATAGGCGTTTAATGTAAATCAGGGTTTTCTGGAAACTTCCACTTGAACCAAACTATGCAAAGATTCTCAACTATGGTTTAAAGGATATTAGAGAATGATTTGATATATTATTTTACTTAACACAATGTGAGTGTCAACATGGCCGAAAATGGGGTTTCCCATTATATACAATGTATATATTCATTGTCTCTAATTTGCATATTATGTCTTAATATGTGCATTATGTGTTCTATATGTAGTGAAGAAAAAAAAGAAGTACCGTTAAATAATGAGAGTAATAACTTGGCAACATTTTCATAATATCTCATATTGCATAGAAATGTTGATATATAATTTATTTCCTATCCACTTATTATGTCTCCTAAAAAGCCTGATAAGCATGCAGTAAAACTGATGCATGTCTCATAACAGAGTCATATTCTGATTTGACACCCCACTAAAGTGTCTTGAGATGTTCATTTACAACAAACAATATGAAAATTTATCAGATTTAAATGATAATTAAATACATTCATATTCCCATAAGAATATTTTTTCCCAACATATTCCCATTTTTTCATAAATTTGCTAGGATATACAGGGTCCAAAATTCGTTTTTTTCCTAGTCTGAATGTTTCTAACTTGTCAGGAATTGTATTTTGCACTTTTGTACTAAAAATATATATATTTGTGTCCTATCACAATAAGATTATTACATTTTTTGGGGACATTTGTAACAAAAATGCACTTCTCATCCCAGACCGCAACATTGTCTCGTCCCAGATCCGGCCCACATGCGGTACGCGTTGAATCCACATGTACCAGATGTGGGCCGGATCTGGGCCGACACTATGTTGCTCTCTGGGATATCAGCAATGGTCATATTATAATTCTTATCATTTAAACATTATTTACAGAAATGCATTTTCTCCCATTTGGCAGATGTTAATTTTGGACCCTTGAGCATGTGGTTCACAGGTAATAATCGGCTGTGTGGGGCTCTCACCTGCACAGCGGCCGCTTGTGTTCACTGTGAATCCCTCTCCACACTGCAAAGCATCAATACAGAGTATTTAGTGTTTGCTTTAGTATTCAGAACGCTTTATTCAAGCATTGAGCATCTAACAATACATCTGTGCTTTGTTCTGAAATCTCTACACTATTCCTGATCCGCATTGACTCCTCCTCCTCATTTGCATACGGCCGTACCTGTGCGTCAGAAGTGAGGGCTGACTCCTCCCCTTCATAAGGATATGCGATCTCGATGACTGTGTTCATATCAGTAGTCTCGAGTGACCGAACCATGGAGCGACCATCCGGCCAATAGACTTCAATGCTGGTGGCATCATCGGTTCCTAAGAGCCAATGACATGAGACCATGAATCCCATATGCTAATGAGCGATACAATTAGTCATAATAAAACACCCTTTAACTACCGTTCAAAGGTTTCCCACGCAGCAACACTGTGTTGCTGTCTGGGTTTGAATGTTTTTGAAAGAGTCTCTTATGCTCATCAAGCCTGCATTATATATTGAGAATATATATTTTCTAGTTGAATATATTGTAAAATGTAATTTATTCCTGTGATCAAAGCTGAATGTTCAGCATCATTCCTCCAGTCTTCAGTGTCACATGATCCTTCAGAAATCACTCTGATATGAGGATCTGATTTTGAAACATTTCTGATTATCATCAGTGTTGAAAACAGTTGTGCTGGTTCATATGTGTGTGGAAACCATGATACATTTTTATCTCAGGATTCTTCGATGAATAGAAAGTTGAAAAGAACAGCATTTATTTCAAATTAATATCTTTTGTAACTTTATAAATGTCTACTAATGCGTCTTTTCTGAATAAAGGAATGACCCCCAATGACCCCAAACTGTATAACAGTAGTGTGTGTAGAATAAAAAAAGGCATATATCAGGTATAAAACTATTTAAAAGAAGACACAATGATGGATTTCACTTTAAAATAAGATGTTGATGAGCTGCTTGTACCCAAACCGAAGTGAGCCACGGGCTCCATCTGGCACAGATACCCCGAGCCTCCGTCAATGATGCGAGTGTGTGCGCCGCTGTGTCTCGTGAACATCACCACCTTCGCTCCACGAGCAAACGCCCCAAACCGTGTGCGAGGAACCACACGCAGCCACTTATTGCTGGAGCCCTGCGGAGAGGACAATAAACACCGCTGAGATGACTACAAATGTATACGTGACCCTGGACCACAAAACCAGTCACGAGTCGCACGGGTGTATTTGTGGAAATACACTGTATGGGTCAAAGTTATCGATTTTTCTTCTATGCCAAAAAAGTAAAGATCATGTTCCATGAAGATATTTTGTAAATTTCCTACCGTAAAGATATCAAATATTATTAGTGAGTGAATGTAGCAAAAACACGAACATAAATGGGGAACTTTAAAGGCGATATTCTCAATGTTTTTGCACCCTCAGATTCCAGATTTTCATTATTTATAGCTTATTTATTCAGCTTTCAGATGATGTATACATCTCAATTTAAAAAAATGGACCCATGTGACTGGTTTTGTGGTCCAGGGTCACATATTTATATGCAAAACTGGCATATGAGACCCTTAAAATATCATATTCAAATATGAGCAAATCGCATTCCCCTGAGGTGAGACCCATAAAAAAAAGTTTTATAATTTTCTTTTTTTTCAATCATTACATCTTTTGGAGTATAAGAAACAAATGGTGAAAAAAAAAATGATTATTCATATTTTATGTCTTATGTAGAGGACACCATGATTCAGTTAATTAGATTCAATTAGAGATGTTTTTTTTTATATTACATTTTTATGTTCAGTATACCAGTCAATTTCTTTTCTATAACTTGTCCTCTGTAAAAAGATACAAGAATAATAATGTTGGAAAATGTTTCTATTTTCCATTTATTATGCATAGAAATGTGTATTTACAATTGAAAAAATGTATACATCAAAAGTCTGATATCAAACTGTCAGGTTTTTACATTGTAAATGGGTTTCTGGCGTACCTGGGTGACCTTGAACACGGAGATGGGCTGTGAGGCGCTCTCACCGTGAGCCACCAGCAGATCCAGCACACCATCGCCATCAAAGTCTGTGACTGTGGCACCTGTAAAAACCCCGTTATTAAGAAACAAATGAGGAAGTGGCTCTGGTCATGTGATGTTGGTCAGGTGGTCTCACCTGTGCCCCGCCCCTGAGGCTCAGAGGCGTCTCCCACATCCAGCTCTGTGACGTCCGGGTCCGAGTTCTGCTTCCTCGACACCCTAAACAACCACAAGCCAGTGTTGTTGTAGTATTATTCATATTTACATTATAGTGTTTATTGATGTTTTGAATTAGTCGATGTACCTGAAGATTCTGTTGGGGGAGTTTCCACTGTAAGCAATGTTATTAAAGAAGACTTCAAGCTGAAGATCGTTGTCGAAGTCCGCAGCGATGACGGTGCGAACGGGTGACGGCGTGGCGAAGGCCCATGTGGCGACGTCCTACAGCGCCACAACAGACTCGTTCATTTTCACAGATTTATATAGATGCACACTGTGAAGAATTACTTGCAGATTGCAGACTGCGCTTGCGGATTTTAAACAGGTTTATATTTGAAAGAAAATGAAAAAAAAGCTGCTAGTGCAATAAGACTAAATATAGCTATATCAAAGATATGAGTGAAGCTCGTTGGGACAAACTTTGATGTTAGCTTGGAAAAGCCGTATGAAGGTTTGAAAATTTTATAAGCTTTAAATTTAGTGAAGTGGAAAGAGAAAGACATTGCTAGCACGAATTAACATTGCTAGCATTAGCATGTTTTGCGATCATGTTTTAACAGGTTGCTAGCATGAACTAGCATGTTTTGCTAACATGTTCTAACACATTGCTAACATTTATTAGCATGTTTTATCACATTGCTAGAATGAATTAACATGTTGCTAGCATGTTTTAACACATTGCTACCATGACTAAGCATGTTTTACCATGTTATTAGCATGAATTACCATTTTGCAAGCATGTTTTGAAATGTTGTTAGCATGAATTAACATGTCGCTAGCATGATTTAACATGTTGTAAGCATGATTTATCATGTCACTAGCATGTTGTTAGCATTTTGTTAGCATAAATTAACATGATTTATCATATGTCTCTCGCCTTGAATCTCTGCTGGCTGCCCTGCAGGTACAGGCGGTGTGGGCCATTCCAGTTGCCGTAAACGATATCCGTCTTTCCGTCGCCGTTAAAGTCGGCCAGCGCCACACCTCTGCCATGCTCATATCTGTCTTCAACTCCTGCCATCACAACAGAAGACATTAGACTGAGGTCGGATTGACAATCATTACTGTAAGTATGAAGTCTGGTGTCTCACCTGCCTCGGCCGCCACGTCTTTGAAGGTTCCATCACCCTTGTTCTGGAACAGGAAGTTGGGTCCATTCTCATTGTCACAGAAAATGTCAGATCTTGCGTCGCTGAGGATTGGACCGACAACGACACCACGGCCACCTTATAACATAACATTCTGAATTATAACTATAACATGTTCCTATCATGTTTTATCACATTGCTAGAATGAATTAACATGTTGCTAGCATGTTTTATCATGTTGCTAACATGTTTAAGCACGTTATTAGCATTAATTACCATGTTGCTAGCATTTTCTAGCATGTTGTGAGCATGATTTAGCATTTTTTAGGATATTGCTAACATGATTTAACATTTTGTTAACGTGACTTATAATGTTGCTAGCATGATTAACCATGTTGCTAGCATGTTTTTTGGACTGACAACTACACCACGGCCACCTTATAACATAAGATTCTGATTTATAACATGTTCCTACATGTTTTAGCACGTTGCTAGCATCATTTAACATGTTGCTAGCATGTTTCAACGTGTTGTTAGCATGATTTGACATGTTTTAGCATGATTTAACATGTTGCTAGCATGTTTTTTGGACAACTACACCACGCCCACCTTATAACATAACATTCTGATTTATAACAATAATAATTTCAAACTTTTGAACGCTAGTTTATATAAACTCTTACACGTCATATAAATAAACATGACTTTCGTTGCCCGCGTCGTCTCTGACCTGTGTACTTATTGACGTTGACTTGTGGCGCAACATCAGACAGAGCGATGACGCCTTTCTCCACATCACTGGCGGCCTCGTCCATCTCTATGAGCGCGTGCGGCCCCACGTTACCGCTGGCGTAGTTCGCCACGTAGATTGAATATCGACCTGTTCCCTACAGCAGCATGAAGGAATTAAAATGCAGTTCAGTGTGTGTGTTCAGTGTTTAGTGTGTGGGTTCAGTGTGTACTGTGTGTTCTGTGTGTGTGTTAAGTGTTTAGTGAGTGTGTTCAGTGTTTAGTGTGTGTGTTCAGTGTGTAGTGTGTGGGTTCAGTGTGTATTCAGTGTGTAGTGTGTGTTCAGTGTTAAGTGTGTGTGTTAAGTGTGTAGTGTGTGTTCAGTGTGTAGTGTGTGTTAAGTGTTTAGTGTGTGTGTTCAGTGTGTGTGTTCAGTGTGTAGTGTGTGGGTTAAGTGTGTACTGTGTGTTCTGTGTGTGTGTTAAGTGTTTAGTGAGTGTGTTCAGTGTTTAGTGTGTGTGTTCAGTGTGTAGTGTGTGGGTTCAGTGTGTATTCAGTGTGTAGTGTGTGTTAAGTGTGTGTGTTAAGTGTGTAGTGTGTGTTCAGTGTGTAGTGTGTGTTAAGTGTTTAGTGTATGTGTTCAGTGTGTACTGTGTGTTAAGTGTTTAGTGAGTGTGTTCAGTGTGTAGTGTGTGTTCAGTGTGTAGTGTGTGTGTTCAGTGTGTAGTGTGTGGGTTAAGTGTGTATTCAGTGTGTAGTGTGTGTTAAGTGTTTAGTGTGTGTGTTCAGTGTGTGTGTTCAGTGTGTAGTGTGTGGGTTAAGTGTGTACTGTGTGTTCTGTGTGTGTGTTAAGTGTTTAGTGAGTGTGTTCAGTGTGTAGTGTGTGTTCAGTGTGTAGTGTGTGTGTTCAGTGTGTAGTGTGTGTTAAGTGTTTAGTGTGTGTGTTTAGTGTGTGTGTTCAGTGTGTAGTGTGTGGGTTAAGTGTGTACTGTGTGTTCTGTGTGTGTGTTAAGTGTTTAGTGAGTGTGTTCAGTGTGTAGTGTGTGTTCAGTGTGTAGTGTGTGTGTTCAGTGTGTAGTGTGTGGGTTAAGTGTGTATTCAGTGTGTAGTGTGTGTTAAGTGTTTAGTGTGTGTGTTCAGTGTGTGTGTTCAGTGTGTAGTGTGTGGGTTAAGTGTGTACTGTGTGTTCTGTGTGTGTGTTAAGTGTTTAGTGAGTGTGTTCAGTGTGTAGTGTGTGTTCAGTGTGTAGTGTGTGTGTTCAGTGTGTAGTGTGTGTTAAGTGTTTAGTGTGTGTGTTTAGTGTGTGTGTTCAGTGTGTAGTGTGTGGGTTAAGTGTGTACTGTGTGTTCTGTGTGTGTGTTAAGTGTTTAGTGAGTGTGTTCAGTGTGTAGTGTGTGTGTTCAGTGTGTATTCAGTGTGTAGTGTGTGTGTTCAGTGTGTAGTGTGTGTGTTCAGTGTGTATTCAGTGTGTAGTGTGTGGGTTAAGTGTGTAGTGTGTGTGTGTTCCCTACAGCAGCATAAATGAATTAAAATGCAAAACAAATTATAACATTTGCACAGTAATTAATAAGGAGATGAATAATTAAGTACCTTTCTGTCAACACAAGCTACGGAGCGTCCCGCCATGCGATTGGCCACTCCCCTCTGAACGTTGATGTCATCACCGAGCAGATCCTCGAAACGACCGTTACGGAATTTGAAAAGTTTGTCTGCGTACGTCGCCCGACCTTTTAAAGAGTTCAGATCGGTTCAATTAGTCAGTGCTCGTTTTGCAGATCTGTAACGGGACACGTGTTTTTCTGCGTACCTGAGAAGGCGTTGTTGGTGTTGAGGAAGTAGATCTCCTCTCGGCCGTCTCCGTCCACATCGCAGGCCGTCACTCCGATGGCGTTTCCCTGCGGATCTCTCAGGGCGTAGTAAGGAGAACTGCGCTCGTCCACTGCAATGTTCACTAGTTTGTTCTGGGTGCGGTCATACTTCAGAACCAGGTTTGGACCGTTATACCTGACAATGGACAAAGAGCAACAGCCTTAAACGGTGGCACTCATGAAACATATCCAGAATTTTTTTTTTACGGTCTAAAAAATAAGCTTCATTATTTATCAGACATCCCATCCTGAAAAAAACTAATTTCCGGGAGATGGCACAACATTTGATGTTGATGATTTATTGAAAATAATTAAGTTTGTAAATACCTAAGTCGTCATTATGATGATCAGTGTTTGTTTTAGTTGGGCTCTTCTTTGCCCTTGACTTTTTAATGTTAGTTTTTCTCTGGCTGTTATAACTCTCTGTTTATAAACACAAAGTTATTATGGGGGGGAAAGCCAAGAGAAATACTGGAGATAATCTGTTGGGAATTTATTGGTTATAAAACATCACCATCAAATATCCTAGCTCACCACAATATAAAAAATATATATTTATACTATCATATTCATTTGTGTAAGCAGCGAATGGGATGTCTGCGCTATCTTTGAGGAAAACATTATTCCTTTTCGTTCCTCTACTTTTCAATTTGTAGATAGATATGTAGAGCGATAGATGAGTTCCCTGTGTATTTATGCCCCCTGTTTCTTTCCGTTCATAGTCGGTTCTCGACGTCTATATGTGAGTAGTTTGTGTGATCATTCTTTCTGCCTTACTCTTATGTATTATCTTCTTGTTTAATTAAAGAAAGTTAGCAATCTTCCTCATCTTCATTCTGAAAACTACCACATCAGTTGTGACAGATTGATAGACAGATAGATGATATGAAAAACAGATAGATAATATGAAATATAGATATATATTTTGTTATTAAAAAACAAGCAAGCCCAGTCCAGGTGAGAAAAGGTAACGCAAAAGTAATGTAACAATACTTTCCAAAGTAACTTTCCCCAACACTGCATGAAACATGTCCAGAAAAAAATAATGCCTTAAAAATAAGCTTTAACATTGAAGAAAGTTTTTCATTTCCTCTTCTTTTCAATTTGTAGATACATAATAATATTATAGATAGATAGATAGATAGATAGATAGATAGATAGATAGATAGATAGATAGATAGATAGATAGATAGATAGATAGATAGATAGATACTTATCATAAAACTTATCATTGATGATAGTATTTATTACCTTTGAGGAAAATATTCCTTTTTCAATTTGCGATAAATAAATATAGGCCTATGTATATGGCTGTTTTATTTACAACTGATGGTATGCTGGAGTTTCTTTACCCGGCCACCACCACCTCCAGATCCCCGTCTCCATCTACGTCTGTCACCGCCATCCCATAATTCAGCTGGGTGGGGTTGTGAAGAGCATCCGGAGGCAGAACTGTATCCGTGTTGACGGAGAACATGGGCTGAGCTTGACAGAGAGCAAACAGACCCAAACCGAGAAGACACGCACACCACATCCTCATCATCTCCACCTGTCAATCAAACAGTATTTAATAACAGTAGTCATACATACAATATGAATCACATCTAATATGTGTATGTGAAAAGATTAATGACATTCCTTACATAGAAATGTGATGAAAACGCACATTTGCAATTTTATTTAAATTAAACTAAAAGAAAGAATAAAGGATGCAACTCAAAGCAGCACAAATATGTCATTTTGCATTAAAGAAAACAAACAAACGAACTTTCAGACAGAAACTATATGCAAACCTAAGAGACGCTGTTTATGCATTTGCAAGTCATCACCCCAAAAGAGAGACGTGTTATTTCAGCTTTACAAATAAAGAATAGACTGTTAAATAATAATAATTTGCGATACCCACTTGTCGTGCAGATTGTTTTGGATTATAAAGGATACTTACGCTCCCAGAGTTTCCCAGAGTCAAGTGCCTTGACTCAAACGCTTGGAAAATGATGTTTGATTCCTGTTTTGCGGTCCTTACACAACTTCAATGCAGCCGCCTTACACAAGCGCTTGTGTAAGCGACGGTCCAATCACTGTCGAGTACTTTAGAAGCTGTGGAGGCTCGACCAATCACAAACCCGCAAGAGAAAAGAGGGCGTTAACGCATGCAGATGTATTACGTCCCTAACAAAAACAAACACTTTTGTACTCAAATAATACATTCACAGACTTGAAATAAATTTAGTTGACTCAAAATAATTATGCATGGATCTATTGTTTATTTATAATTTTGGTGTTTACTAAGAATAAATTAATTGTAGCGTTTGTTACTGAAAAACGCATATTAAAAGTACTGATAACATATGATACTCTTTAATCGTGGCCATGCCAAGGTCATGATTACAATGATTATGGCCATGATTTTCGCAGTTTAAGAACGAAATGATAAACCGTATGATGATATGTTTGTCACACATGCATCTTTCCTGAACTACACTAATAAACTACAACTACCACTAAAGGTTTTCCGATTGTGGCGTCATGACGTCCTCCTTACGTCTCCAAACATCCGGTCATGGTTTCAATGTTTCGGCGAGCTGAAAAATATTGAGATGTAAGTAGAATTATAATGCGAATAATGATACTAAAGCTTAACATACGACACTGGAAGATTTTGCTGTCACTATTAGTACTGCATAGTTGTTTCGGTTTCTGAATCATGTTACGCTCAGTAAACCAGTGTTTATGTTATAAATATGAACTGAATAACGTTACTGCTTTTGTTGTTGTTGAAGATAGTATGTAAAACACTGAAGTATACAACAGTCAACATTTTAAAAACAGTAGTATGCTTCGCTCTTGTCACTTAATCTTTTTATTTTACATTGCAAATACTCTCTATTAATTATCTTTGAAAGCATAATTATTTAGCATTTTTCATCGGAAGTCATAAAAGTGATGTTACAAAATCAAGACAGTGTATGTAACACTGAAAAATAAAGAGTCAAGTTTTGACAAATATAGTATGCTATTCTATACAGATAGTTTATATTTAGTATACATTCTGTATATTTTGAGTATTAAGTTAGTAGGCTATTCTAAACACACTTTCCTTACACAGATCCCTATGGAGACAGAAGCATCCCAGCCAGAGGAGGGGTCCACAACGGCTCCCGCGGCCCGAACTAAGAAGCCCACTATGGAGATCTACGTGCCCAAGAAACGTCAGGCTGAGAAAATAGACCCCAAAGATAAGCCTCAGACAGGAGACGACAAGAAATCCAGACCCAGGCCTCGGTACACCGACAAGGCCCGCAAGAACAAGAAGGATAAAGCCAAAGCGACCGAGCCCCTGAACGGAGAGGTAAAACAGGATGAAGGACCGGAAGTGGGAGATAAAGAAAACCTAAACAAGCAAGATGAGTCCATAGACATCACAGCCAGAACTATGAATGTACCAGACACACGTAGTGCACTAGAACATGAGGAGATGCCAGAAGAAGAAGAAGAGGAAGAGGAAGAGGAGGAGGATGAAGAAGGAGAAAACTGGGATTCTTTGTTTAATGATGATGGTGACTGTCTTGACCCCAATTTGATGGAGGAGGTAAGAGCTACAAAGATGTGCTAAACACGTTTTAGAGTGAACTGTCCCTTTAATAAGGACATTCACACTCAGATGCATTAGATGTCCTCTTCCTGTTTCAGATGTCTCTGAAGGAGGGCCGCAAGAAGGCGTCCGCACAGGACCCGCGGTTCGACTACTATAATTGGTCGCCAGAGGATGATGAAGAGGTGGAGCTTCGGGATGACGAACTGTCACACATCGTTGAGATTTACGAGTTTCCGTCCGAGTTCAAGACGGAGGACCTGATCAGATCCTTCAGCTCTTTCCAGTGCGTGAAACTCTGCTCGGGAATGTGGCGGTCCAGAAGCGGCTGCGTGTGTTAATTGTGTGTGTGTGTGTGTGTGTGTGTGTTTACAGGCAGAAGGGCTTTGACATCAAGTGGATCGACGACACGCATGTTCTCGGCTTGTTCTCCAGTGCGATCGCAGGTCAGTGTGTTCTCCTGATGGTGTGAGAGAAATGGCTTGATGGGTTTAACTTCTGTGACGTCAAACCGTATCAGTGCTGTGAAAATGAAACAGTCTGAAGATTAAAAATATCAGTTTTAAAATGTTTACGTCATCATGAACTGAGAGGAGCTTTATTATATGTCTTTACCAAATCGATTGTTGAATTTTGATTTAGAAACAGTCCATTTCTTTTTGTTTTTAACTCTTTCCCCGCCAGGGTTTTTTGTTTTTTAATTTGCCAGTCACCGCTAGTGTTTTTGATCATTTTGACAAAAGTTTCATGGCCCCCAGAATATTTTGTTGTATGAATATCTGAACATGCAAAATATCAAAAGAAAGAACAGAGCCTCTGCTTTTAAAGAAAAAAAAACATTTTATTTTAGTTTTATGCACTCCTTTTTTCATCAACTCTTGAATGTGTGTAAGTTTCATTTAAAAAAAAGCAACATTTTGAGCAAAAAGCTGAGAAAATCACAATTTTGTCAAAGACTACATCCAGATCAGATTCAGTAGATCGAGTCCATCAACACCCCTAAAGCTTCACAGTCCTAAAGCCTGTCCTGGGTCGACATTTCATTCAGTAACATTGGGCAGTTTTGATTTATATGCTGTTTAATGTTGTTATTTTACACATGCATATGATTACATATGATATCGCTTGTTTCTTTTTTCTGCGTCTTCTTCTTGCAGTAAGCGATTTCTTAGAAACGATTTCTGTTAAAACTTGAAATTAATTATTTGCTATACCTGTGTTCTGTGTGTGTGTGTGCTGAAACAATATTGTGTTTGTTTTTAGCCCTGGCTGTGTAAATATAAGAAATATAAATATAAGTGGCTTGGACCAGTCAGACTGAGCAGCACAAAACACTTGTAGCTAATCAGCAGTAGGGGGCGTGTCCATGCATGATGAGGGAGAAGTGAAAATGAGCCAATCAACATGATGGGGCGTGTGCACTCATGATGAGGGAGGAGAGTGAGCCAATCAGCAGGAGGGGGCGTGTCCACTCATGATGAGGGAGGAGAGAGAGCCAATCAGCAGTAGGGGGCGTGTCCACTCATGATGAGGGAGGAGAGTGAGCCAATCAGCAGTAGGGGGCGTGTCCACACATGATGAGGGAGGAGAGAGAGCCAATCAGCAGTAGGGGGCGTGTCCACTCATGATGAGGGAGGAGAGTGAGCCAATCAGCAGTAGGGGGCGTGTCCACATGATGAGGGAGGAGAGAGAGTAAGCCAATCAGCTTGAGGGGGCGTGTCCACTAATGATGAGGGAGGAGGGAGAGTGAGCCAATCAGCAGGAGGGGGCGTGTCCACTCATGATGAGGGAGGAGGGAGAGTGAGCCAATCAGCAGGAGGGGGCATGTCCACTCATGTGAGGAGGGAGAGTGAGCCAATCAGCAGGAGGGGGCGTGTCCACTCATGATGAGGGAGGAGAGAGAGTGAGCAAGGAGATTTGAAGACTGTAGAAAGAGAGATGGTCGAGATTTACAAAAGAGAAAAGGTCAGAGGAATATTGCTGGAAAAAGAAGGGTTATGATCAGGCAAGAGTTACTTTGGGGGCGGAGCAATGAAGAGAGGGGTGTTTGTGTCTGGGTGTCGATTTCAAATATCAACAGTGGTTCTCAGAAATCGCTTACTGCACCTTTAATCGACTGCTAGCTAATGTGTGTTCAATACTTATCCACCTTATTCTCTAAGAACTTAAATTACACCAATTAAACACATTCCTTACCCCCCTCCCCTATAACTGTGTGTGTGTGTGTGTAGCTCGTGATGCTCTGAGGATGAAGAACCCCATGATGAAGGTCAGGCCTCTCTCCAAATCATCAAACGCCACTAAAGCCAAGGCGCGCAGCTGCTCCGGTACTCCTCTCCGTCTCTCATTTACTGTCAAACCAAAAATTATTCAGACACCAGATATACATTGTGATATTTTTTTTTTACTAGTGTGTGCAGGACACTATAGTTAATTTATGTAAGTGAGGATAGCGAAATAAAGTAAACTGTGACATATTATACCCAAAATATCTTAATACAGTGACTACCAGTAACATTTATACAAATTTGGGACAAAAAAATGATTCAGACACTTTGAGCTGATCATGTTTTCCTGAAGTGTTTTTTCTTTAATTGCTAATGCTCTTTTCACACACAGACTGAACAACATGAAGCATTGCTTGGTGATTGTTTGAGCTAAACTGGTATTATCTAATAGTGTAGTTAAATTTCACAGCTGACAGATATTCAACATAAGAGTTGAGACTCTCTGTGAGAGTCTAACAGAAGGACGGACAAAACCTGAGAAATATCAACTGATCTGATAACTCTGAGATCTGCTCATATTTTATTACCATTTTCTAAACTATAGTGAATAAACTGTGATGATGTGAGAAATGTTGACGGTGTCTGAATACATTTCGGTTTGACTGTACTTGTGTTTGAACTGTTTTGTGCATTAATCACTACTGACCGAGTTGTTTCTTGAACCTGCGGTCCTCACGCCTGATGTGTGTGCAGATTACCTGCTGCCGGCTAAAGAGCGTCCTCAGACGAGTGCGGCTCTGGCTCGACGGCTGGTCATCGGCGCTCTCGGCGTCAAGAGCAACCAGACCAAGGAGGACCGAGAGGCCGAGAGGAACAAGCTACGGCAAGCCAAAGGTGACACGATCATTCTCAGCTGGGTTTTTATTTGCTGGACTGGTAAATACATTTCTGAAAGATTAAAAAAAAGAGGGATTTATTTGATCTGTTTTTGTAATCAGAGCAAAAGCGTTTGGCCGCTAAGCAGCGTGAAGACGCCTGGGAGGGCAACTGAAGACAGGTTTGTGTTTATATCAACCACAGTCAAAGCAGAAACTATTCAGACACCGGATATCATTTTTGATATTTGTTACTAGTGTGTGCAGGACACTATAGTACATTTATGTAAGTGACGATAGCAAAATAAAGTAAACTGTGACATATTATACCCACAAAAATT